CTGCTGACGGATTGGCTTGCTCCCCGTATCTGTAGCCATAACTGTGATGAAAATGGGTTCCCCATGAACGGAGTGCGGTGCGTTCATAGAAACGCGGCCAAACAAAGGTTGATCTTGTGCGATTCATAAGCCAAAGTGCCCCCCTGTTCCAACGAGCCGTGCGATGGGCACATTTCTTTTGGTGGCTCTGAGACATTTTGAATTCCACATTCCGATGGCAGAGGCCAGTTTCTCCATAGGACAACCACTGTTTATTTATAACCAGAAGCTTTCAATCGCTGATTGGGTGCTGTTATTTCCAGGGCGGCCAGGCCAGATGTATGTATGTTGAACTTCTTTCACAACCATGCTAATCGGAGGTGCAGGGGAAGGACAACAAACTAAACACAAAAAGCAGTTCTAAAGAAATTAGTTTTCGTTCTAGATTTAGAAGTGCATAGCTACGGCGGCTTCCTAATATTGTGACGAAGAGCGTTCCAGACGGCCGCAGAAGAGCATCTGAAAGCGCGTGATGCAGTGGCCGTCTTTGTTCGATGGCGAGCCAAAAGCCGCTGCTGCGTGGATGACCGGAGTTCGTGTGATGGTTCATGCTCTTTGACGAGATCAGCGAGGTATTGCGGTTCATTTGTGGCAATCACTTTGTGTGTCATGAGTGCGACCATATATAATGTATTCTGAATAAGGTAAAAAGGAAATGCGCAGCCCTGCTACACGTAATGCCACTGCTGGCAGAAAGGCTGTTCTGTCACGGAGAATGAATTAGACCGTTAATATATGTGTGCATTGTTTACTAAACTTAACGGGGTTGTTATATTTTCCTAAAGTAACTTGTTTGCGGTCATGATGCCACTAAGTCACAAACCGTTGACGAGTGAGAAGCTGCTGATCCTTAAATAAAGACAAAGATCCCCCGTGTAGCCTACACAGGCTGTTGGGGCAAGTGCTGTGAGAGATCACTTACTAAGATTGGGTTGATAATAATCACTGGTGTTGGCTGTGAGCGGCGGGAATCAGACTGGGGTTTCCGGGTTCTAAGCTTGGAGCACTAACCACTATGCTACAGCTCCCCACATCATTAAACAGCACACACACACATGCGCTTACATAAATATATACACACACTTTTTTACGCACAGTTTATTCACCACATGGATCCCCCCCCCCCCCTCAATTGAACAATGGAGAGTCAACTGTATTTCTATTATGTAGGACAATAATATGTTTTAAGATGTTTTTATTTAATCCAATTTCAAAGGTAATATTCATTCCTGAGCCGCTTATCACAAACAAACATCACGGGCGGCGGCAATGAGATGGAAATTTCGCTCAAACTAACTCGACAAGAAGAGGTTGACGAAATTAAATATTTCACAAAGCGTGCACGAAGGAAACAAGCGGATAAATAAGCAAAAGGGAAATAAATAAATGCTCCATCAGCATGAGACAAGATTCCCACAGAGATCTACAGCCTGTGTACTGTCTCATCACTTGTCACTTGTGTTTTGAACCCAGGGCAGGTTGCAGTGGCAGAGGGCATGACCTTGTGGAATAGGGCCACGAAACGGGAGGGATTCCTTTTAAATGAGGCCAGAGCCAGACCTCTATGGACAGCTGTGTGGAGAATGTTAAAGTTGTCTGTGGGTATTGTGAGAGAATTGATGATGGGCGATAGTCACGTTCGTTAAACGTGGTGTCCAAAGACTGTTGAAGCATAATATGGTCAATCAAATTCTTTCATAATTTTTTTTTAAATCTGTAATAATAATTTACAGCCATTTGTCATTCCACTGCGGAATCAAGGCCTCCTTTACCATGCTAGTCACGTCGGAATTGGTGAAATGGGAGGGCGGAGGGCCAGTTCAGATATCACTCGCCACTGATGTTAGCCGTGGCCAGGTATCAAACTCGAGGAGCCCGTAATCAAAGTGCAGTGTTAATCACTTTGCCACCAATCCACCCCATTTATTTATATAACAAATTACATCCATCCCAGTAGCGTTCTCTGTACTGTGTAATGAGCTCAGTACATTCCTTTAAGGAAATTATTCCGTTGAAAAATGTGTATCTTCTCAGTGAAGGGCCCTGTAATGTAAGAGCACGGAGCCACTCCTGGGGCCACTTCATTAGGGCCCATCTTATTGAAGGCTCCTCGTCAATCCGTCACTCTGGCTCTGCGTCGTGGCTTTACTCCTCCGTCACTCATTTGGTACATTTATGAATGTCAAACTTCGCAGCTGAATAATACCAAGGTAAAACAAACGTATGTATATTTTGTGTAATTAATTGTTTTCTGCAGTTATTGGTGACCCGGCAAAGAACATCAACTCCCTACACTTGAGAATGTGAGACCTGAGTCGGCAGTGACTACAGACATTTAGTTGTATGTCATTCGGTTTCCATTTCACGTTTTAGTTGAATAAATATTGCATTCAATAATTTTGTATCCATTCTTACGAACAACGAATCCTACCCACAAACAGGATATACAATTTATGCATCCGTTGTGTTTTGTCAAATGAATGCCTTTTGTATGAAGTGAATACTTTTCAGGAGAATTAAGTGCATGTGATGAAATCCATCCAATTGTAGTCATAATCAGGATGTTCCTAAGGCAATACAAGGCATACATTAGGTCATTACGCGATGTCAGTCGGAGCTGTTGCATAGAAACACACTCTTTTTGGGAAAACGATTTACTCAACTTAAAAACAGGCCGCTTTTGATTAAAGTGCATTTTAATTATTCATCCAACTTCTTAATGGAAACCGAATGCGCGTTTCATTTTTGTTACCCAGTTCATGTAAATGCTTCTGCCGGAAGTTGCATATTAATATAAATCCCATGAGAGTTTAATGGAGGTTGTAGAAAAAAACTATTCATCACAGGATTGTGTGTTTCTAATGGCAGGCAGATGCATGAAAAGTGACACTGAATAACCTCTTAGTAATTTAGCCCCAGCCAGAGATTGCAAATTCATAGTTATGAAAATCACATTAACTACAGGTTATGATGCTGGACATTAAAATAGTTTTATGTTGAAATGTTTTTTCTATATATTTTTTTATATTCAAATCTATTTTCTCACAGTTCAGCCAATTCCACTGAATTCTGGGTATAATGCAAAACATTATCTGTAATATATGTGTAAGTAACGATCACACACGATATCTAGCTGATTTGGACTGCTGGTCGAGTGCTCGATATACATTAAGAAGATCGTGAGTTCAAATCCTGGTTTTTAGTTTATTTCAGCAGCCAACACAATCACAACCAAACCACCTTGTGAAAAGTCAGCGTTGCTCAACCTATTACAGACTGGTCCCCGCCGTGGGAATGTGGAATTTACCGTGCTGTTTCAGGACAGCTGATAGAGACGAGCACTGCATCTTGCTTGTTTTAACAGGGGCACAATTTTCACAGCGTGGCTTTGTTTACATTCATAGAAGAACTTGACATTGACTCCATCTGAAGATCATTTTACGTAAATTATATTAAAAAAAAAAGGCATAACCGTTGAACGTATCGCGTCAACCGACCCACTGAGGCCCTTTCTGGGAGGCACTTCACATCCCTACTTGGCATCTCAGGCAGCCACCGAGTGGATTGCCAAACTTAGACGTGCCGTTGTCAACTCTTCTCACAATATACGAAATAGGAAGATAAGGTTTCTAAACTCACGAAGGAAATTTGCATTTTCCTCGATTTTTATTTGGAAAGACAGACTTGTGTTTTTATTTTGTTGCCTGTAACCCTTACAAGGAGGTGTTTGCATATAAATGTTGTGATTTTCTCCTAGCCTGGTAGATCAAATGTAATGCTCCAACAAGAGGCAATATTCCTCTGTTATGATGATATTTGGTACAAAGATAACCATTGCTGTAAAAATGCATTCGCAACTTCCTTTCATGGCATTTATCTGCACTTATTTACATAATTCATGAGAAGTTTGCGTGATCCATTTGAGAACGTATTGTGGAACATTGCAATTGTATCCACCTTGCGCTCAATTACAGGAACACTCAGGTGTGTATCAAAGTACACGCCTTGGGAGCACATGCTCTGGATGATAATGATGATAATAATAATAGCAGACGATGCGCAGTACAGCATGACCCACTATACAGGTGGTTCTATCGGTTGTGTTCTGACACGGATGATAGACTCTCAGTCTCAATACACGCTGCTGGAAAGAGGGCCTTTATGATTGCCCGTGAGTATCAGGCACAGTTATTGTAGATCTCCAGGCGCGTCATGGGTAATGTGCCGAATTACTGCACTGATGGGCGTAGCCACAAATTATGACATACTGCTGTGTGCTGGGGTGTTATGGAGCTCGCAGGAATGAGTGAGGTTTATAATGGAACTCACTCGCTCTATGTGTGCCATAAATATAAAGGCATTGCCCTATTTACGTGAAAAGCCTAACTCAACGGTGCGTATTTATGTTGCATATGGTATACCTTCGCGTGATATGAGTGCAGCTCTTCCATTTTTTATTGTTTTCTGTTGTTTCTGAATGGGTTTTTTGGTCCTAAGTTGGTGAGAGCTTGAATTGCTGCATGAATATTCTGCTGAGTGAAATGTCTTTTCAATGTGGGTTTTCTGATCACATCCGGAAAGCGCTGGATTATAATTATTAACTATAATCGGTGTGTGTGCATGTGTGTATGTGTATGTGTGGGGGGAGCAGTATTTAAGTGATTAGCACTCTGCACTACGTACCCAGCAACCCGCCTTCTATTCCCACTTATGCCAAACACCAGTGACGATTATCTGAACCGGCCATGCCCATCCTCCTGGTTGCCTCAGCCTGTACATGAGCGCCTGGTGCGGCGTGTAAACATCGTCACAAGGGCTGTTGACCACCAACCCCTTTCGTGTGCCGTGCTGGCCTTCATAGTTGCTACTCACTAACAGCACTTGCACCTAGCAGTCTATTAAAGGCTAAACGGGGCGGGATCTTTTGTGTCTGTTCCATCCGCCGCGTGCCCCGCCCATAGTGATTGGCGTGCACAAGCTTTCGAGCGCCGAGGGCGGCACGGACTTGACGTTCCCGGTGAAGGGCCGACGCAACATGATCAAGTGGGTCAAGAGCTCGGAGGACAAGGTGGTCATCTCCAACGCGGCCCTCTCGTCCGGCCGCCAGGGTGAGAGGGGTGGGAAGCGTTCCACCGTGAAGACGAACCGCTCTACTCAGGGAGCTCGACATCCTCACGTTGGCACAATGTAACCGCGAGGCACCGCGCGGAACCTCGCCATCGAATGCCAAACTCGGTTGGCGTTATTCGGGAAAGCATCGATAGCCATACATAGTTGACGTTATTCGAGAAAGTAGGCAATTGTTTTAGAATGTTGATGGATCATGCCCTTTATTTATTTATTTGATGCCTGAGCCCCGCAATAATAAATGTGGCGTTTTCGCCACAAGGACTACCCCACCTCTATTTCAGTTGGGTGATATTTTGGCTTTGAATAATAATATTAATGATGAAATACATATTTTTATTTGGAACCCTTATTGTTGCACAAGCTGGTTCCCAGTCATGAGGTTGAGAGTTTAAATTCAGGAAAAGGTCAACTCAGCCCTTAGAATTGATTAAATGATCACCGCTAGGTCAACATTATGCATGGTAGGAATTCCATAGTGGCTACCCTGCCATAGGAGTGTAGCATTTCCACGACTGCCGTATAGTCAGCAGTGGAGAAGAGCATAATTAAGTTACGTAATATTTGCACGTTAGAAACTTCAACCTTAAAAAAATGAAAACATGCGTGTGTCTTATGCAGAAACGTTTTTGCCTGATGCAACTCAGTTGACGGCTTCAGTCACGACGTCAGCCGAATAACCAGCAGATGTCGTTTAAACACGACGTGTATTTCTCTAAAATACACGTCTTCTAAAACAAGTCACGATTTCAGACATAATGACGTCAAATGCATTGCAGTGGGTTTTTTTTCTAGCATTAAAGCATTATGCATTGACTCAAAGCAGCGTTAATGCCAGGGCAATGCATGCAACATTAGGCACAAGATTCCTAGCCATTGATGATATAAAACTCACCGAGCATGAAAGGACCTCGTGTGTACATGAGCTATATTTTACGTGGTTTATTTGTGCGCGTGCTCTTGCCTTGGTTGCAGGAGAACCGCCGCTGGTTTATGTCATCGGAGTGTCTTTTTATAAGAACCTGGAAGGCATCATACCCAAGCCAAGGTAATAAATTGTGCTTTGTTTCCAAACATATTTCCACGTCAAGTGCACCACTAAATCGCTACAAAATTGGCAAAAAAATTCATAATTGTGCCTCTCGCGAAGACAACACGCGCAACGCCCCCGTTTGCACACATTGCACTATCCTCGCACGACAACAGGTAGCAGAGGAATGGCATCACACAGAGGCTATACATGCATATATACAGACGCGCACACGCCACCATAATAGGCCTTTTTACACCGTTGAAGGATGCAAACATATATAAGGAAAAAATAATGTGCAAAGAAAAAATCCTCAAAATGTGAATGCTGAGCAAAAACACTTCCACTGGCATGCTCGTTAAACATTCTCTCTTTTGCTGTAGAGCCTCTGCAGCATAGAATAGAATTAGCAGCTTGAAGTATAGTTAATCCCACGCAGACCTTACATGTTGTATTAATGTGCCTACGATGTGAAATATAATGACGGCTTATAACCCTTTTTTTAAGTTTCATGGTTAAAATGTTAGCCCAAGAGAAACAATTCAAATGCTTACCTCTTTTTCCCACCTGTAATTGGATTTGGGAATTTTTAAATATGTCATGTAGAGTTGGCAGGCACTATTTTGTTATACTAGATGTGTGTTTTGAACTAGTGAAACATTATTCGAGGAACTTAAAGATATTATCCTAATTGTGCCACTGCAAATCTATCTCGTTTAGATTTGAAAACGTTGCCAAAAACCAGCTCTCCTTCAACTTACTTCTAAACGCACTGATCTTAAACGAGTGAATTAAATGTAAACAAGTGAAATGTCTGTCCTTTGATCAGAAAATTTTGTATTTTTCAGCAATGGGACCATAATAAACTCCAGGATAGTGTCTGTGACCATCCGGCCAGCACCAAAGAACAAGGACTTGCCACTTCTGGAAATAGAATTCTCTCACACATCGAATGTGAGTTCACCGTCTACTTTGACGAGTCCTATTTTTCATTTTCAGGCAACACTTATGGTGAATGGGGCATTCTGGTTGATGTGGCAGGGCAGATGAATGCACAATCCATTTAACAAATCGTAACTTGTGTTTCGGCTTCAGTGGTGGAGCAGTGGTTAACGTACTGTGCTTTGAACCCACGGACCTGAATTTAATTCCTGGCCAATGGGAAATTACATTTAAACTTGTCCTGGGCACCCCAACCCCCGCTTTCACCAACCCACACTGGCTGATTATGCGTGGGAAGGCTTTCATCCAACAATGGAATGACAATAGGCTGTGGATTATGATTTGGTCGTAAATGCAAGACACGCGGATAAAAAAAAACAACGGTACAAATAAAACATGAGAGCAAGATGCGCTGGAAAAAGTTAGATACAGGTGTAAGTAAGTTCTATATTTAGTCTCACAGTGACATGAACATACGCAAATCGATAAAGACAGTGTAAGCATGTGGGAGTAAGGGGCGCCAGACAAACGTTAGGTACAGGTGCAAGTAAACGCTACGTTTTGGTTTATTCGTGAAGTAAAGAGGGGGGAGTGAAGGGAGGGAACCAAGCTGCAGATGAGCGACCAGGGTGTTCCAAAAACCTGGAGCAGTGACACGGAGATACTTTTTTTTGCTTTACCAAAGTTTTAGCAAATGTAATTTTTAGTAGGAATACGGAGGCACTTCTGAGGCTACGGGAAGGAGTCAGCGGAACTCAGCGGTCCTTTAGGTAATTGGCAGATTTGTTTAAGAGGACCTTTAGAATGAAGATGGCCCAGTGGTGGTCTCTCCGGATATCCATGGGGACAGATTTGAGTTGAATTATTAACTTGTTTTTGGGCATTCATGCAGCAGCTTGGGCACAATTACTATTTGATTCTATAATCGTATTCGTCTTCATTTTTGCGTTGACTTTGTTATTGTTTACACTTTTAGTCCTTTTTTTACAAAGCATTACTTTCTTATTGATCCGTGTTTCACTGATTCAACACCGTTTTTTAACGTTATAGTGCACTGCAACAATTTGCTGTTATCATGCTTTTAAAACAGTCTGCCTCAGCAGCAGGCCATGCTTTCCTACCTGATGACGGACGCTTGTGTTGCACCCAAAGCGTCGTGATTTATTTTATACCTACGTGACTTTACCGAAAGAACCACAGAGTACGCTTAACTAAGTAAAAAAAATCATCGGTTAATTGTGCTGTTGCTGTGCATTTTAGTCCAGGTCTCCTTGATAAATAGACTTGTGGTCTCAATGGGCACTTGCTGAGCCGAAGATAAAGGAGTCGGTACGTCGTGCTAATACAACAATAAATTGGCTATTACAAGCCTAATTTAATTATTTAGACCCCCCCCCCCAAAGAAAATATCCCAATATTCCTATCAAGGCCAGTCAGAGTTACAAGAATGGGATTTTTAATGCACCAAGCTTACACTTGCTGAATTTTGTTGTTGTTGCTATTATTGCGTCAAGCTTTATATGAATGCACATACTTCATTTCCATTATCTAGGAAGAACCGCTCAAGTGTAATGGTTCGTTATGAAGAGCGACCTACATTTGCACGATTGGCCTTTTCCTTATTGAGTAGTTTTGCTTGCACGAGAGCAAAATCGGTGCACTCGGAGAAAACCCCGTGCAGTCCGAGGGGACGTCATATCTTAAAATCTGCACGGGCAAATCGTAAACCCCATTTGCTGCACTGCCATCTCTTGGCCACCTTGTACACGCGATTAAATCCGCACAATCCATCAACTCTGCACGGCGATTTCAGCAGACGTCGGTCGCTGTTGCAGTCTCCGCCGACGGCGGGTGCATCATCGGCGTGCCATTACAGTCGTGCTCCGTGGTTAATTGGTTACGGGATGGAAATGGCAGAGAAGCTCATAGCACAGGGACTTGTCACATATCCCGTGTGCGTCTGCAAACACTTTCAGAACATCGTGTGCATTTTTTTTAATTGTTTTATTGTATTATTCCTTTTTCCCTTTTGGCGAACGTTGTCAATTTGCTTGCGAATGATTAATTCACACGTTGCCAATCGTGAAAATGCATGCTGCAGTCTTAATAATGAAATGTCTGGAAGCATTCTAGCATTGAAAATTGCTGATGTGAAGATGTATATTGAATAAGCTCATTAGTTGTATTTCTGTACATACCCAGAGGGTGGAACATTAGTTTTTAATCGTGAACTTACAAACATATATTTATTGCAGCGAAATGGGTTCAATAATAAATCATTATTAGTCTGTAGGTTTTTAATTCAACCTCACTTGCATCTAACTATAGTACTATGTAATAGCATATGCATGTGTGCGTGTGTACATATATATGGGGAGCGTCAGTGTAGCAGTTAGCTACACTGATGCTCCATTTTCCCGCTCATGGCTAACATCAGTGACAAATATCTGAACCGATCTTGGACCTCCCCAAGGTCGACTCAGCCTCAAATGAGTACCTGGTGCGGTGTGTAAACATCGCCACTGGGGAGACAAAGGTGGCCGGGCATGGTGTGGGCCTCCCACCCCCTCGTGTGCCACAGTGCCGGCCTTTATAGGTGCTCGCTAACAGCACTTACCCCAACAGTCTGTTTAAGGGGAATCTTTTTTTTTATTTATGTTCTACAATTCTGGACATTTTTATTCCATTTCTGTTCACCCACATCAGTGACAAGCGATTTTGAACCTGTCCGGGGCCCTCGCCTAGGTTATCTCAACCTTTAATAATCACCTGGAGCTGTTTGTGTACATCAGCCGTAGGGAGACGTACCCAGCCAGGGGGTGCTGCTGACCACACCACCCCATCTTACACAATGCTGGCCATAATATGTGCTCACTAACAGCACTGGGTGCCATGGTGGTAAGATGTGAACTACCTCGCCTGGTATACAGCAGGTCGTGGGTTCGATCTTTACCCTGATGCCTGCTGCATATTTTGAGCTTGCATGTTTCTCTCCCCGTGGTTGTGTGGATTTTTCTCCAGAGCTTCTGGTTTTTCCCTCATTTACAAAAATGCGTTTCGAGTTTTTGGCCGCTATACATTTCCACATTATTGTTGAGCTATCATTTGTGGCCAGGTCGCTTCTGAAAAAGAGCTATATAGCTCAGTGTGTCTTACTTGGTAAAGTAAAAAAAAAAATTGTAGTAAAGTTAACTTTTACCTGCCCCTTTGGCTTAAAAGGCCACATATTGGTTCATTGTCATTTTCTGTACGAATGTGTCTATTATTTTTTAGAAACATGTGTTCAACTGGTGTCCGCCTTAGAGATGTAGAATTTCCGCCAGTGGCTCAGGCCTACCAGTGGGGATGGGTGGGACAACATGCGCTCTTGCTTGAGCAGGGAAAGGCCTTTGGCTCCAATATTGCATTTCCGTGGGAAGACTCAAATTAATTTTAATCGACAATGATAGGTGGCTGGTCTTGACATAGCAGCGTGGATTCAAACATAATTCAGGCAAAGATTACAAATTTGCATAAACTGTTTCAGCTTGCTGGCTTGGCAAATTTACACAGCAATGCAGAGGCGTGAGCACCAGCCGTGCCAGCCAGTGCTTGATCCGCAAGCTGCGACGTTAAACGCGGTGTGCGTTCAATCATTCATTACTCGTTCCTGGACTTGTGATGTACATTATTACCATTAACAATACAGGGAAATCGGTCATGTCGCTTACATTTCTGGATGTGAGATTAACTCTTTTGCTTCATATCCGGGGAGTATTTACTCGGGGGAGATTGTGACTAATGCTACTTCATTGTTGCTTAATTTACATCCTGAAGACTTACGAAATATATTCATTACTCTACGTATTGCTGTTGTTTATAAAAAAAAAAACGTGCTACATTGCGTGTGAATAATTATCTTTTATTTCACCAATTTATCTGAATAATATTTGCTGGGAGGGTTTTATTTTTTGTTCCGATCAACAATCGCACGGACTTTACTCAATCTCATGCAAATGTCATCCTTAATGTACAGCACGTCCTCAGTCGTCATCAACATCGTCATGGTCGCTACCACGCTCGCGAAATGGCATAACCATTGACAATGCCATTTTTCATCTTCCCTAAATGCCTTATTGAGGCCCGACTCACCGCAATGCTGCTCAGCCTGTGGCTCCGAATCTTTATTTTCTACGGGCTCTTGCTGTGCCAGGTAGGTGGCTCAGAGTTGACTGAGTGTAGAGAAATGTGGCAGTGGTTGGGGGGGGGGGGGTGTGAATAACTACATCAAATTGCCGTCCGTACCACGCGAGGATTCGTGCCTCAGCCGGGTGCTGCGTGTGACAAATCCATCACAGTGAGGCACACCTCAGCAGGACATCGTTCTTGTACCTCCGGAGGATCCGCCGCCGTGGTCTGACGGATTGTAAACCGTCCACATCAGCTGTTGTGGGATTGAGCACGGAATGTGGTCGCAATGTTTTTTAGAGATAAGAAATCAAGTTTTGGGGGAGGGGGTGGGGCTTTTAAGTTGTTAACGCGCTGAAACTAAACTTATTTTTTACGTAAAATGTATCGACGTTGAATTCCGGTATTATTTCAATCAACAATGAGAGTTTGAATGAACGCAGCATTGCTATCAGAAGTCCACGCCACGCCATTCGATTACATTTGCTGACTGAGTAAAAAGCGTCTGTGAAGGCAGCAGCAGCAGAGACTATTACAGTCAAGCCCTATAGCTCAGCTGGGCATTGCAAACTTCCCTACTTTTCCCCCACTTTTTGAACAAGATATGACATCTGGTGACACGTCCCTGGGTCGTAAACGTAATCTTTTGAGGTATGAATCATCCACGCAATTCCCACGTGTGGTTATGTCGCACCGTGCAAATAAACAGGGGCATATTCAAGGCCGCGTGTCATATACATGGTGAAATATGTCAGCACCATGGTTAAAATTTTCCCATATTTGAAAGACTGCTCGCAAATTTTACTGAATTGCGAAAAGGCATAGCAACCGTCGCCGCGACCATCAATATTTGGCAGGACCCTCCTGAAAGAGAGTCTTGAGACTATTATAAAAAAAAACTAGTATGATATTAAAGTTGTGCGATTATTACATGTATAGATATTAAAATGAATGCCAGTGAATTTACGGGAGAGGTTTTTTTGAGTCCGTAAAATACATCCCAATGGAGCCATGTCTTGAAATGAAGAAAATTCTCGCCGTAATTTTCACCGCCAGCTGGCAAAGAAATGGGCGCTTGTTAACTTGTAATTTCATCTTATGCCAATACTTTATTTTATGCAAGAATTGTTCAACAAAATAAAATAAACAGCAACCAACCAACTAACCAACAGGCGCCCACACCAAAATAATAAGCCACCACTACCCTGTAAAAAAAAAATCAAACTCGTAATGCTCACAGTAGCAATGCGTCTCTTAGGAGTCTGTTTTAATAAAGCGAGCTATAAAAACGCAATGCAGGGTTTTTTTCCCGCTAATTCTCGTGATGTTTCCCCGTTACCGCAGGGCACGGGCGCATTCTGCTCTTCGTGGGACGCGGCGAGCAGGTGAGTAAAGTGTCGGAGCATGCCGACACTTCTCAAAGACATGCACCGAGCCGAGTGATCCACGCCACGGGGTCCTCCCCGTTGGCCGAGATTTTTTGGTCTTTTGTTCACGATGCCACCCGTCAAGGCCGAGGCGCGAGCGAGGGGGGAAAGCGTTTTCGTTATTTGTTGTTGTTGTCGTCGAAAGGACGACATTTCTGCTCGTGCATAATTGCCAGCGCGGTAAGTTATTATTTGGCAGACACAAACTCCCACCGTGGGAATGCGATGCGGAATTTCCGTCCTCTGCCTCAGGGCTACCGGTGAAGATGCGTGCTGCCACGTTGCTGCTTTAAACGGGGAGACACTTTGAGATTTTGTTTTTTTTATTTGTGGGAAGTCTCGATTTAAAGCTTTCGTGACTGCAATGATTCATCTTCTTTGGTTCTTTCGGTAAAGTCACGTAGAATGAGAATAAAATAATATTATTGTGTTATTTTATTTTATCAATTTATTATTTTATTCTCATTCTACGTGACTTTACCGAAAGAACCAAAGAAGTTGTGGGAAGTCAACAACGATCGTTTTGTGGACGGACCTAATCCTACCATTGGAATGTCGAGTATCCGCCACTGGCTCAGGGCCACAAATTAATGAGTGCAACTCAATGCTTGTTGGAGGATGAAGGCCCTTTGCCTCGCCTCTGACTGATTGCATGGATATACTTTTTAAATGCTTTATTTCAAACGGACGTGAATGATTTTTGCAGTTTATTTAGTCGGAAATAGATCTTTATATGCATTGCTTCATTTTGTTTGGTTTTATTTATGATTTTAATTCAATGCCTGCAATGTTTCATGACTACACAGCTGCTGCCAATTCAGTATGCACAAGAGTATGACTCAATTATTGTTCTCATTTTGGAAAATTTTCATGAACAAAAAATATTTATGGTTTGTACAGTTTGTTTTTTAGTTTAGCTCCATAGCATAAGTGTAGTGTTGGCATATCACTGCCGAATTAGTTCCATTTTAAAGCAATTATTCTCCCATGTACGATTTGGTGAATGTCTTCTAAGCATAAACATTGACAGTAATACATTTTCCAATGCTTCTTCACTTGTGTGCATAATCCTGTGGTGATGTTGCATAACAATTTTACAACAAAATGAAACATTCATGCATCTGATAAAAATGCATATATAGACCCTCATTCAAAGTGTGTATTCAATGTTGGTTATACATCAAGCAATTCTGTTACATCTGCTGGTGCCCGAATTGAAATTCACGAAAGCCATCTTCCATTTCTCATTTCTAGACTCCGTAATTTCAGATTACAGCAACAAAGTAAATGTTTTCCTATAAGCTCAGCAGATGAGTTGAGAGTTAAGCAAATAAATAAGCAAACCAAATATTAAATAAAACTTCGTGAAATCTCACACACCAGTTTCTTTATTCTGTGTTTTGCATGCTAGGCGTAAAGAGACATGTGTGTCTGTCGATAAAAGATCCTTATAAAAATTATGAGCTGCTACAAAGTATTTTAGAGTTTAGGCATTTTAGAATTTGTGGCTTTTAGATGCTGTGTGGGAGGTGAAATGTTTGGTTCTCAGTAAATGGTAATGATTTTTGCAGCCCCTTTATGGGAAGATGTTGCGAATAAAAATAGGAAAATTAAAATAAAATAAATTTGTATTATTCACTTGTTCTTTTTTTTTAAAGGCTGAAACACAGAGCAGCGTTATGATTCATAAGAATTATTATTAAATGATGGATGTTTTGGAGAAGCTGCGTATTTCTTTTTTTCAACACGCACACAATGACATCCAGTGTTTCAAGCAATGAGCCACTTTTTGTGATTTTCTCCAGGGTTACTAAATGAATGAGAACTGCATTATATTTCCTTGTCGCCACAAATATTGTTTTTCACTTTCAGATTATGCCAAGTCATCATCTAAGCTATGTGCATTCATGTACTGGCACAGTGGTTATCACGATGTGCTATGAACCCAGTGATCCGAGTTGTGTTTTTGAACCACGACTAACATCAGTGGCGAGTGATATTTGAACCTCGCCTTGAGCTCTCTTTCACGAACCCCGCATTGACCAGTGTGGTGAAGTATGGTGAAACAACCTCCATGGTTAAGCTTATCCGGGAGTGAATTGAAAATGTATAAACATTATTTGCGCTGTAAATGTGTCAGTATATAACGGAGCCATTGCATAATTTTGAATAGTCCTACCATAATCTGTTGTAAGAAATTATATAATTTATAATAAAAACAAATGCAAATTTATCATTAACATTTGATATTTCAACAATATTATTTCATTGGATTTTTTGGGGCCATTAAATATTTATTGTGTTATTGCTGACATGACCCAGTTTCTGCGGCTTTCATAATTATTAAATCCTTAAGCACACTACCACACGCCCTTGCTTAAATTTACCAGACCGTCGTAATGTGTGCACTACAATTCTACCACGTCGCAAGACATCTCATCTCCTAAATGCTGTGGCCACTCTGGTGGCAGTTCGCCCGTGGGTCCCGGCAACTTGTCGTTCTTTCATTTCCACTCCACCCCGTCGTCTTGCTTCCTCCAAAATCTCAATGTAATTAAAACTAATTGAACAGGTTGAGTGGTCGTGTTATCGATTGAATTCCGCATCCAATCTATAACCGACCCAAGGCAAAGAACACAAAAGCACCCTTATTAAGAAATGGAGGGCTGATTGTGATTGCATATGAGGTGCACTGCATTTGTCAGTAGTCCGAATAAATCAACAGCGCCGTAGAAAAGTGCTCGCAGTGATGTGGCCCTTTTATAGATAGGTGGTCATCAAATTACTTTTATCCTGCTGGTGGTGACTCGTATGGCTCATCAGGGCTGATGCCAGTATATATCTACATAGCAATCATCGCCCCCTGCTGTCAATAAAACTTGGTAGGAGCTTGCTGGTGAGGAGTCGTGAGACTCGGTGCCACTTCTCTGAGTAAACAAGTGCAGGAGAAGTCGTAAGAAGGCCCTCATACCCTCACAACTCACTGCATTGTGTGAATGTCAGGCGCGTGGGATCGCCTCGTTGCTAAGAGCCAAACGGGGGAGAATGTGACAGCTGTTGCTTGGGCTAAAGCGGGGAATGCCCACCCTCTGCAAGTTTCCGAATGAAAATGTCTCAATCTGGTTCCATGACACCGGCAACGCGATTGCGATATGCGGTGTGAAAGGCAGGTAAGAAAAAAAAAATCGTCGTCATCTTACCGTAGCTTCTCATGCTCTAAAGAAAAAAATAATTCTGCTTCTCTCTTCCTGCCGACCAGAGATGCAACGCTCGGCAAATGGTCTCCTCGCTTCTGCAAGACGTTACTGAGCGACGCGGGGAAGACACTGTGCCAATGTGGCAAGATCTCTACGTTCACTGTTCTGGCCCAGCAGGCTCAAGCACAGGTACATGGTCAAACTTTAACCCCACCGCCACCCTGCGGAACTGGTCACTGTTGACACACATCGTCTTTGCAGTAAGGAATGGTGTATAGGAAGTTGACAGGGATCTGTGCGTGACATGTATGTACGTACATGGCAGGGACTTCTTTCAGTCAGTCAACCCATGGCAGCTCGGTCTGCCGCGTGACCTCCTGCCAACGGGCGTTCGACACTTCACGTGGCTTCAAAGTGCACCTAGCCTGGCACGAGCGCCGTGGTGACGTCACCGCCACGTCGTGGCGAATGGCAGTGGTTGTTGTTCAACTTCTTTCATACGTAGCAATCGTGCTAATCATAGGTGTGGGGGGAGGACAAGAAACTTAACACAAAACGCAGGTCTAAAGCAATGTTTTTTTATCCAATTTATATTAAAAATTGCACAGGTCCAGCGGCTTCCACATTGCCATAGCAATGTGGAATTTTCAACGAATGGCTCAGGGCCATTAATAGCATCTCCAATTAGCACGTTTGGCTACGTACAGTGAGAAAGAAGGTCAGCATACATACATTTATAGATTTGAATGATGCCCAATATATTTGAGGTGTGGGGAAACATGATGGAAAGCTCCCTTATCTGTAATTATTTGTTGTTCGTGTTTATATATATTATTGGTTATAATGGTTATTTATTTATTATATCCAGCCAAGTGCTAGATTAGAGCACCTGACTTTGAATTGGAACATTGCAATTTGGAATACTGGTCAGTGGTCAACTCAATCATTCATCCCACTCAGAGAGCATCACCCACCATAGAAATGTGGATTCACCACTAATGGTTCCGGGCTGCCAACATGAATTAGCTCTGTCCCATTGCTCAGTTGGGTATGGAGTCACAGTGACATAGATTGTTATTAAAATACTCATTGCCAAGTTGTCCAGTAAAATCAAACAGCTCTGTGCCTCATCACAGTAGAAAATAACTGGATTTCTAACCCCACTACCACTGCCATGTAAACAAGAAGGCCGCTAATCTTGATTTGAAGCTTTCGTGACTGCAGGAATCCATACTCTTTGGTTCTTTCGGTAAAGTCACGTGGGTATAAAATAAAACTCTCTCCTCCCCCCTCTCCTCCCCCCTCTCTTCCACTTCAGCAATTTTTTCTTGCTGTGGTTTTCCCACCTGATGATGATGATTGCTTGTGTTGCAATCGAAACGTCGTGATTTGTTTTATTTTATTTCTAACTACGTGACTTTACCGAAAGAACCAAAGAGTAGGAAGGCCGCTATGAACACAAAAGTTCATCCTTGCACAACGCTGTATTTAACACCGGGATTATGGATGAACACGCGTTTTTAATACCCCAATAATTGTATGGTGATGACGACGACAAGTATCTTACAAGAAATCAACGAATGATGATGATCCTAACAACATTGTAACCCAGACATGCATTAAGCTGTCTTTCGTGTGCAACAACAGACAACCAGTTAATCCTTTAAATGTATTACCCACTCACTAGATCGGATAATAACCTTTAATTTTATACCTACGTGACTTTACCGAAAGAACCAAAGAGTAAAGAAAATAAAACTATAATTTTAAAAATTGAGCCTTTCGTGCAGCGCTCATTCTTGTACTACTTTGTATTTCACGATATAAGCAGAATGACAAACACCTTTCAATACGTCAATAGTAGGGGAGATGAGTGGTAAAATCCTTAGTACATACATGCATTTATGTGTATTTCACAGTGCATTTATGTGAGACTGCGATCATCCAGAACAAACCGTGCAACGCATCACGATGCGATGCCTGCCCCGCATATACAAAGGAGACATCGCGGCGATAGCACTCCGCCGCTCCTGACGCGGTTATCTGGGCTTAACCACCTTAATGTGAAATTGTAGTTGTTGCTCTGCGTCTACATCAGCCATACGAACTAACATTTACGCGTATGTGTGGGTGCGCAAGTGCGTGGGGAGCGGTGACGCAATGGTCAGCGCACTGCACCACAAACCCAGAGACCCGCGTTCAATTCCTGCTCATGACTAATAGCAGTGGCGATTATCTGAACCAGTCCTGGGTTTCCCCTAGATCGACTCGGCCTCAAATGACTATCTGGTGCAGTGCGTAAAAACATCGCCACTGGGGAGACAAAGGCAGTCAGCCGTGGTACCGGCCACAGACCTCCTTGTGTACTGTGCCGGCCTGCATAGGCGCTCGCTAACAATACTTGCCCCAACAACTTGTTAAGGCTATACAGGGGATCTTTGTATTTGTCGTTGTTTTACGTGTCTGTGTGTTCAACAGAAAGTGGAGCCAGTGAGGACACTGTCTGTGGCTCTGATTGTCGGCTGCTCAATCTCGTCTCTCGCTCTTATGCTACTCATCTTTATATACACCCTCATCTGGAGGTATGTTCTCAATTCACTCAGTAAAATAGGCCTGTTTCGGCTGTTGGCGAAGGTGCTATTTAGCAAGCACCTATTTAAGGTTCGCACAGAATCCCTTGGACTGTTTTAGCCAGCACCACAAATGTCTGCAAGCTTCTGTGGATGACACTTCTGTGGGTGACCACACTGTGTTTCAGGTATTTTTGTTTTATTTCGGCTGAGTTAACCCGAGGGAGGGCTCGACCAGGGTGGTTACCACATCCACGATGGGCAGGAAATGCAGTGGAGCTACATTTGGATTGCAGCTCCCTGTTGTGACACACACATCCAACTCCAAACACGTTTACGTGAAATTTTCAAGCTATCACCGCTTTGTCAAAATAATAAAACTTAATTTACCATTTAAAGTGCTGAAAGTTATCTGCAAACGTAAACGTTTACCCCAGAAAACATAACCCTAACTCCTGACAGTTATCATAATTTCAAACCACAAGCTTAAGAATGCCCGTATCAAGCATATCCATCAACACTATACTCTTAATATTTCTAAGAATTACACAGAGAAGGTGAAACATTTATATGAATTCACTTTTGATGTGAAACGAACGAATGCATTCTTAGGTATCAGTGTTTTTTTTCACAACTTAAGCACCCTTTACCGAAGAGGCATGCCTCTGCTAATTACACCCATATATACCTTGTATCTGCTACAGAGGGCTATACAGGTGTAGGGAGCTGTTACCAAGCCATATGATTTATATTTAGCTAAAATATCTTAATTCAGTTCGATACGGGCTATACGATCATACATGCAATCGATTGCTCTCCTAATTAACGGTTTGATTACGCGGAATAATCTCACACAAAAAAAGCCTCACCTGCACGCGTGTCGCTGGCCGGGAGGTGATGGGTGGGGCTTGGTGCCATCATCACTCGTGTTGCGGGGGGGGGGGGCGCTTTGCAACCAACCAAGAACAAAAGTAGTTGATTACAAGTTTTTCTATCTGTTAATGAATTTATTTTGAAGGATTATTAAAGCTCTAGCCATTGCAATATAGCCGTAAACTTGTGTGCAAGCTAAGGTGCAAAATGTCCTGTGGCACATCTGTCATTTTGTGCATTTTCTTGCATCCCCATTTGCAGATCTATCAAGTCGGACCGGAGTGTGATTCTCATCAACTTCTGCCTCTCCATTATCTCTTCAAACATCTTGATCTTGGTTGGACAGACACAAACACAGAACAAGGTATAGCAGCCAGTCTGCTTAAGTCTTTCTATTGTTGCAACTACGAGCAACTTTATTGTGAAACAAATTCAGTTCACAAATGGATCAGAGGTGGGGGGTTTTCTTCAATCATTGATCTGTTAACAGAAATTCTACAAATAATGAGATTTTTTTTTACAAGTTTGAATCTGCATTCTGACTGTTCTGTCGCGCAATAAACATTTTAAACAGTGTTGTGAAATACAATGCCGTAAAATCTAGGTCGTTAAAATGTATGACTTGAAAGTTGTTGTTGGGATGTAACGTTTTTATTACAGCGTGGATTTGAGTTTGGCTGCCATCACAACTCTCGTCATCCTTATCTGTGTCTCGCAGTGCAGATTTTATATGCGGTGTTTGCTGTTGTATGGGGGTACCGGTTGCACCTCCTTAATATGAGGCGGCATTGCCTCAAAGCTGGGCTCTGCCTCAAAATGGACACCACTGCTCAGAGATCTTCGTTGTGAATTTGTAATCAATACATTATGACGGCGATAATCATGATGATGACGTATGTGTATGTGTCTTTGCAGGGTGTGTGCACCATGATCGCTGTGTTTCTGCACTTCTCCTTTCTGGCCACCTTCTGCTGGGTTCTCACTGAGGCCTGGCAATCCTACATGGCTGTGCGGGGCGTCACCATGAAGAGGATCATACGCAAGCGCTTCCTGTGCATGGGCTGGGGTGAGGCTGCTCTATACACTGCGCATGTCTAACAAGCAACGTTAAACTTCGTTTCTAAGACCAGTTGAAACCATAATCATAATTATGAAAATTAATTACCCAGGAAAGCATTGCGAGTGAGACTCAAGACTTTTTCAGGGCAGCCTTCCATTGGAATGTTTAGGAAATTACATTTACAGGTATTTAGCATTCTAGAGAGAACTATAATTACCACAGAAAACCCACAATTGTGAGAGGTTGACATGCAAAAATGCACACAGATGGATCCAATCCCCTGTTGTACTGCCATCTTCTTTCAACTTCCTAGCCCAAGCCTACAACGCCTGGTATCCCAGGTAGTCTCACATCCAACTATTAATGTGACTCAATCATACTTAGCCTCTGAAATCAGACGAAAGCAGACAGAAATTAGAGCGATTTGGTAAATTCCGGCTGAGTCGTCGCAATTCGGCCGGTGCCACGTTTCCACGTCAGCCAGGCCAATTCGGATCGATCTCACGGGAGCTCGGTACGGTGGTCCCCAGCCCACTTCATGGCCCGTGACACATGCCGCTCCGAGCTGGACCAATGCCCGAAACCAGTCGTGACATCACAGGGTCAATGTGGAAAGGAGATACGTGTGGGCTATATCACTCGGTTTCACCTCCCGACTGTGTTTTGTTGAAACCACATGGCTGAAATTTATATATATAAAAAAAAGTAAGTTTAACCTTAAACGCTCAAACGGAACGCACACTTCTTTTGAATTTTGTAAATTAAGTAAAAACACACGAGATTTAAAACGTCGCTTCCTGGCTGGGATCTCACTGGGCTTGGCAATCATGAAATTAAACACTTATTTTATTTTACTAGGTAAAGCCCATTGAGCTGTATAGCTCTTTTCAGAAGCGACCTGGCCACAAATGAGGGCTCAACGAAGTGGCTTATCACGTAGACATTTTATAGCAGCCGAATACTCTAAACGCGTGTTTCTAAATGTGGACGGAAAAACCTGGAGGACCCGAAGAAAAATTCACGTGATCACAGGGAGAACATGAAACTCCAAATATACATGCGACCTCCTGTATACCACCGTGGCACTCTACATGGCTGTGCAGGGAAAGTGAAGGGTTCCAGGGCTACAGGGAGAAGGGGTTCAGCCCATGGAGTCTCATGGCTCATGCAGAAATGTGGGGACATAATGCCTGGATATCCGTGCTGATTCTGAGCCAGAATTGGATCATTCCTGAGCTGACAGAGTCCAGGTCAAAGTGGTCGTTGAAATAAGGCATCGTTCATGTGCAGAGAGTACACTTCTAAACACTCGAGATCTCAACATCGCAAGCATTCAGTGAATCACAAAACCATATATATTTATTTATAATACATCACTGTATAAAGTCGGGTTTTTTATCACTTAGAATTGTCCAAACTTGCCAAAATGCATGACTGCGAATCGGAACGAGTTCTGTTGCTCTATGACATTATAAAAGAGTCACTAAATTATACGCTCTCGGAATGTACTGAATCTCGATGCAGGGAATTAAAAACAACATTGCAGGATAAACATTTTAAGAAAGTGAGACAAAGCATTCCCATTCATGCGATTTGATGCGAGGTACACATGCAATATTTAAATGTAACACCCATCATATTTTAGATAAATGCGTTACTTCCAAGAAATCTGTTACATTGGGCACTCCTAAACTTTCTGACTTGACAATTGCATCTAAACTTTCATGCGCCTTGCATACAATGTAAAGTAATTATCCACACACACCAACCCTATTCTGCTGGATAGTTTCATTGTTTGTGTTTTGGCATTGCCCAACCTTCATGCACGATATAATGCATTCCCGATTTGTATTTTTAGAAACCAGTAACACATTTTGATGAGCACGCAACACTTATGAAGCTAACCACGTGAAAACAAACAGATGCAATTTCGTTTCCCTTCTCTAAAACGTAATCTTTTTTTTATTGTTTAACAGCAATGAAGCATTTTGAAGCAATGTAGCACTCAGCTGGATACTTGGACTTGTTTAAATTGTGGGTGTAAAATTTAACCGTGCAGCCTTGGGCTCATCAGACCTTCACTGAATTTAGAATTCATTGTCCACTTTTTTTTTCCCAAAGCGATTCAATTAACAATCTGGCACACATATTCTTAGCTCTTTCGGTAAAGTCACGTTGAAGGGAAACAATAAAATAATAAAATATATATAAAACAATAAAAATTCTCACGACGTTTCGACCATGACGCAAACGGTCATCATCAGGTGTGAAAAACCAACGGCAAGAAACATTTGAAAGAAGTGGCGGTTCGCATTTATTTATTTATTTCTAAACGGCGCATTTATTTACTTTTAAAAAATACGTTAGCGCCACGGGCAGCGATTTGGCAGTTTATTTAGAAGGACGAGTCCATCTATGTTCTGAAAAGAGGAGGGGGGAGACGAAAAATTAATGTATGCTGTCTGAAAGCCACCGTAAGTGTGAACAATCAATTAAGATCTGAAATGGTTATCAAATCCTTCCAATGATTGCTCAGCCAGAATCCATCTTCTCGGTTGAAATTGTCTCTGTGCTTGTATATGTGGATAGCCTCATGAACGAATCTCTCATGGTAGCCAGATGGCTTACAAAGAACCTCTGTCTTGGAGAAGTCAATGGCATGTGAGCCTACTGAATTATGACAATGATCTGCCACGGCCGAGGTGTTGGTCCTACCGTGTTTAAGGTCTGCTTTGTGTTCACGAATGCGGTCCGAGACATGGCGTTTGGTTTCTCCAATGTAACTACTACCACAGAGGCAACTTAGTTTGTAGACACCAGGGTGCTGTATGTCCGGAATCACATCTTTTACAGACGGAACCAGATCACGGATTTTATGTAATGTGTTGAAACGAACCTGGATCTTATGTTAATTCAAGATTTTGGAGATCTTTTTTGTGATCCCCGCAATGTAGGGTAAAGTGATTGTTTTGAAAGGCTCCTCAAGAGGGTCCTTCTTCATGGTTTGAGTGATAGCTTTGCGGATTGTATAGTCGAGCTTGGTGTATGTGCTTGAGTTCACTGCCTATGTGTTCCTGGTCGGATATGCATTGGGCTCTATGGTACAGAGTCTTGATGAGAGAATTCTTCTGTGATGGATGGTGGTGGGAATCCGGTTTCAGATAAGCATCCGTATGAGTAGCTTTCCTGTAGACAGAGTGGCTCATTGAACCATCAGGTCTCTTTTTTATTAGGACATCCAAAAAAGGCAGCTTGCCATCTTTTTCGACTTCCATGGTAAATCTGATGGCTGGGTGTATGGAATTGATGTGGTCGAAGAATTGGTTTAGAGCAGGCCGGCCATGTGGCCAGATGACAAAAGTGTCATCAACGTACCTCTTCCATAAGGTTGGGCGCAGAGTGGCAGTCTGGATGGCGTCAGTCTCAAATTTCTCCATGAAAATGTTAGCTATAACCGGAGATAGGGGGGAGCCCATTGGGGTGCCCTCAGTTTGTTTGTAGAAAGTTCCATTTCAAGTGAAGTATGTATTGGAAGAGGTACGTGGATGACACTTTTGTCATCTGGCCACATGGCTGGCCTGCTCTAGACCAATTCTTCGACCACATCAATTCCATACACCCAGCCATCAGATTTACCATGGAAGTCGAAATAGATGGCAAGCTACCTTTTTTGGATGTCCTAATAAAAAAGAGACCTGATGGTTCAATGAGCCACTCTGTCTACAGGAAAGCTACCCATATGGATGCTTATCTGAAACCGGATTCCCACCACCATCCATCACAGAAGAATTCTCTCATCAAGACTCTGTACCATAGAGCCCAATGCATATCCGACCAGGAACACATAGGCAGTGAACTCAAGCACATACACCAAGCTCTTAAGGCTCATGGTTACTCCGACTATACAATCCGCAAAGCTATCACTCAAACCATGAAGAAGGACCCTCTTGAGGAGCCTTTCAAAACCATCACTTTACCCTACATTGCGGGGATCACAAAAAAGATCTCCAAAATCTTGAATAAACATAAGATCCAGGTTCTTTTCAACACATTACATAAAATCCGTGATCTGGTTCCGTCTGTAAAAGATGTGATTCCGGACATACAGTACCCTGGTGTCTACAAACTAAGTTGCCTCTGTGGTAGTAGTTACATTGGAGAAACCAAACGCCATGTCTCGGACCGCATTCGTGAACACAAAGCAGACCTTAAACACGGTAGGACCAACACCTCGGACGTGGCAGATCATTGTTATAATTTAGTAGGCTCACATGACATTGACTTCTCCAAGACAGAGGTGTTTTGTAAGCCATCTGGCTACCATGAGAGATTCGTTCATGAGGCTATCCACATATACAAGCACAGAGACAATTTCAACCGAGAAGATGGATTCTGGCTGAGCAATCATTGGAAGGATTTGATAAACCATTTCAGGTCTTCATTGATTACTCACGCTTACGGTAGCTTTCAGACAGCATACATTAATTTTTCGTCTCCCCCCTCCTCTTTTCAGAACATAGATGGACTCGTCCTTCTAAATAAACTGCCAAATCGCTGCCCGTGGCGCTAACGTATTTTTTTAAATAAATAAATGCGCCGTTTAGAAATAAATAAATAAATAAATATGGACCGCCACTTCTTTCAAATGTTTCTTGCCGTTGGTTTTTCACACCTGATGATGACCGTTTGCGTTATGGTCGAAACGTCGTGAGAATTTTAATTGTTTTATATATATTTTATTATTTTATTGTTTCCCTTCAACGTGACTTTACCGAAAGAGCTAAGAATATGAATTACTGCAGTCACGAAATCTTTAAATCAAAATTTAATCTGGCACACCTCAGAACCAAAATCAAACTTTGTTGTGCAATGAATTGCAAACCTATTCCGAGGAATTATCAGTCAGGGCCTAACTCAGATCATCATCATGTTGGGTCGATAAATCAGGTTCAACAATTATTGCATTATTGATAGACTGGCCCTTGCCTTTAAAGCGTATGAAACATGTAATTTCCCAATGGGTTGTTAGCTTTTTTGCCAAGACAACGTAGGCTCTTTGGAAATTCTTAAGCTCACTTTAAGGGGAGCGCGCAATCCGGGGACAGTGGCTGCATGAGCAAAAAAAAAACATCACTCCCTCGCTAGTGGGTGGCTTTGTACAATGTATTTTCGCCAACAACACTAAACAATCATCACTTTACACTCGTCACGGTCACGAACCTATTCCCATTCCGAGACATCTGAAAGTTGCAGGGTGGTGGATCCCGTTCACCGCTGAATCTCGGAACACGCAAGTGGTTCGGGTTCATTTTATTTAGAGAGGCGTAGCGCCGTTGTTTTTAAAGACATTGTGCTATTCGCAGAGAACCGTAGTGACACGACCGTCGCACTCTACGATAGCTGGCGCCAAACTGTGCCACACACCCTCCTGCATGGCCTTATGGGAGCCTCAGTACCGAGAAAGTTATTTTAATGTACACATAGGTGATCGAAACGGAATGGGAAGAAAACGGGTTAAATACAACCAGCGTACAAACTAATGCACTGCAGAAACTCACCCACGCGAAAAGTAAACATTTTCCCGATTCTATGTATTTTATTCTACATCGATTCATTTCCCAATATTATACAACAGGTGATGTTGAAACCACATATTCCTTCTTTGTTTGTGTTGATGGATCGTTCAACGTTCTCGGCGATTTAAACACTAGGCAGAGTGAAGATTTTGAACGACCTCTTCTGCCGCCCTGCTTAGATAAGTACTTTAATCAATATCATAGTGATGTTCGTGAGCCACACCTGAGGCATCACCTCCCTAACCCCTAGCACGTGGTTTATAGGCTCGTGATAAATGTTGGTAACGTTCCAAACGGTCGTTAGGGTTTGGCCACTGTGTTATTGTTTAATACATTATAACAATGAATATCAACACACTGGCTAAATGAAAGCCTGCCTTCACAATATCAGTCATGGGCATTGTTTGACCATACTTCACCATGCTGGTAAGAGCAGGTTAGTATAGGGGAACACTTGAACCGGTTTCAAATATCACTTACCACTGATGTGAGCGTGGCCGGCAATCAAACGGGGGTCACCACGTTCATGGCATAGTGCGCTAACTGGCCACTGCACAGCAACTTTGATCAATGAGCCATACTAAATAGTGCACATGTATTGCATGCTCATGTGCGCAATGGTCTGTAATCCTGTGCACGAGGAGGTGTGTGTGCGATAGAGTAAGCGGTTAGCGCGCTGCGCTACGAACACGGAAACCCCGAGTTCAGTTCCCGCTCACGGCCACCAACACCAGTGGCGATTATTCGAACTGATACTTGGGCCTCCCCTAGGTTGACTCAGCCTCAAATAAGTACCTGGCACGGTGTGTAAACATCGCCACTTTGGAGACAAACGCGGGTGGGCGTGATGCTGGCCACACACCCGCTCGTGTGCCGTGCCGGCCTTCATAGGCGCAACTCGCTAACAGCACTTGCCCCAAAACAGTTTGTTAAGGCTATACGGGGGATCTTTGCCTTTGTGTGTGTGTGTGCTTGCTAACAGCCCTTCCCCTCAACAGCCTGTTCATGCTATGGGGGGAATCTATGTCTATGTGTGTGTGTGTGTTTTGTGCCGTGTCCATGCAGGGCTCCCAGCTCTCGTAGTTGCGACCTCGGTGGGCTTCACGAAAGCGAGCGGATACGGCACGGCCAATTAGTGAGCATGGCACCAGCACCGTCACCACCACGGTTATCACCATACAGTTTTTTTTTTAATTTTGCCTCCAAATTAGCAACTGTGAGCTGATGGATTAAATATAATAATCAGGGGAAGCATAGTTTATTGGCTTTAAGTGAATGATTGAATATATTTTTTTTATTGTAGTTAGTCATCAATGCAACCATTCACATGTCCTACAAGAATACCATGTGTAGTTCTTGAATGGAAGTCGGCAGTGATTGTCTTATGCAGAGACTGGGTCATTTTGTATGAATGTAAATTTCCACCCGTACGCGCTGCAGACGTATGTATGTTTGTTGAACAACGTAGCCAAACACGCGAGTCGGAGGTGCGGGAGAGGAACAACAAACTATACACAAAATAAAATGTTATTTCCCTTTCAAGAGAACATTCAAGTTTTTCTTTCGGTCAAGTCACGTAGAAGGAAAATAATAAAATAATAAAAATAAAACACAATAAAATAAAATTCTCACAACGCAAGCAGCCGTCCTCAGGTGAAGAAACAGCTCTGCTTGCGTTGTGAGAATTTTATTTTATTATGTTTTATTTTTTATATTTTATTATTTCCCTTCTACGTGACTTGACCGAAAGAACCAAGAATATGAATCTCTGCAGTCACGAAAGCTTTAAATCGAAATTCAAGTTTTTTTTTTAATGAACATGATTGTTCAAAATGACAGGTTCGTACGTGAGCACCTAGTTAAATTCCGTATTATTTTCCATGCATAGAACATCATTGCCGTAATGAATATTTTATGAAAGAGTAGTAGTATATTGGACATATACATGGCACTTAAGTTTATCCAGGTAATATCTTGCTCATGTAAGTGGGCACACAAAGCCCTCTATAAATATAACCGCTACTTGACGGGGTTAAATAAAGATGCGTCTCCCGATTTATTATCGTGGGGATCTAGGCGAAAGAAGGTTGGAAGATTTGTCTTGCGGAGGATGGCATTTTTAATGGCTCCTTTGACACAGAGTAAATGCCAGGAGACGGGAAATGGCTGATATCTCTCCACTGTCAGAAACAAACCGCACTAACGTTTGGCCGACGCTGGAATGTTTACTTGGTTCAGGGCTCAATCTGATTTTTATTCCAGTCACTATGAGGATGGCGACAAGGAAAGGACTTTCGAAGGTGCAAGTTCACAGAACAAAACAGTTGCAACAGGCATAATTGTCGTGGATATTGTGTAGTAGAGTTTTATGTTTGTTGTAAAACAGTTCTCTAGTGGAAGGCGACTGGAAAAAGTGGAAGTCACTTCGCATTAAACAAAAGGTTGCTTTGTGGTTTAAAATGTTGGAATGCAGCCAAGAACAGAGGATCGGGACAAATTTATATTATTCATAATGGAAACAGTTGTGCAATAAAATTATTCATGACTTTTACATTACATGCAGTGTAAAGTATTCCCTCACTTTTAGCAACCAGTTTCACAGACGGATACAAATAAGTCATTGTGGCCATAAACACTTAACAGGAACGATGCTAGACTTGTAGCCTAAAATAACTTGGTTCAAGTTTGAGTCAAGGAGCTTGAACTTGGTTCATTGCTTAGCCGGGCAGCTTGCTTTGTGTGAAGTAAATTGCAGGTGCCTCCACCCGTTCAAAGAAATCATCGAAGAGCTGCATTAAATTCACGTAAATTACAGTATGAGAATGACACCAATTTTTTTACACTACCTAGAAAATCTTCACCGAGTGCCAAGACTCTTTTTAGTTGGGTCCTGCATGAGGATGTTTGGAGTGCCTGGAGAAAACTCACCAGCCACATGACTGCCTCATAGCCGTTTTTGTTTAATTCTGTTTGGCCACACTGCCGTTTTTCTGTAATTCTTTTTCATTCATTGTGCCCGTGCACCACTGCCAACGGCAGCATCACCACGTAGCTTGTTTCAAACGTAAGCGATGCCTTCTCATTCGTTCCTTGTTATAAAGAGCGCCGAGATAGCGAAGCCAGACGGAACGTCTCGCGGTCCCCAGCGCTTCAACTCACAGCGAACGCCGTGGCCGTCGTGACGTCCCGCGGTATTTTTTACTGCGCAGAAGTTCGCGCTCGGCTTGCTGATCTCTCGCAAATCCGCTGCTTCGGCGCCGAGGCTACTCTCCGGCCTACCTGATCCAGCCACCCTACGTCAACTCCAAAACAGATTTAGTAGCCAGCGTTTTTCCTCAGGATACCCGGCGGAAAAATGCAATTTGTATCGATGAGTCAAAAGTTCTCTACGCTAGAAACGGTGCCATTAAATTCTAAAAATACACTACTGAGTGGAAAGTTTCAGGGCTGTGGAGGAGGAAAATGGATGTAGGTGTCTTGATTATTAAATCTTTTACAAGGTGTCTGGACTCTGTAAGTTAGTCGGCATGGTCAGAGATATGTTTGGGTCTATTTCTCAAAATAATATTTATTTAGCCAAGTGGTGTTGTATTTTTTTGGAGGAATCACTCAGTTGATAGAGCAGGAAAGTCATGACCGTCTGAGCTCAATTCCTGTCCAGGGTTAATTGAGTGCATCATCATCATCATCCCTCTGGAGTCACTAAGACTGCCCCCTAGATGGTTACTTTGAACTCCGGTCATCCTAAAAGCGGCTTTTGGCTCGCCATCCAACAAAGACGGTCACTGCATTGCACGCTTTCAGATGCGCTTCTGCGGCCGTCTGGAATGCTCTTCTTTCTGATATTAGGAAGCCGCTGGACCTGTGCATTTTTAAATAATCTAGATTGATAACTAATTTATTTAGAACAGTTTTTTTTTGTGTTTAGGTTGTTGTCCTTCCCTCGCACCTCCGATTAGCACGGTCGGCTACGTATGGTGCGACAAAATTTCACCATACATACACACATACACACACCTTAAATACATACATACACACACCTTACATACTTACACACCTTAGCGGAGTGTGATCATCCTATGGATAGACTTTAGATCACCAGAAGAGAGTAGTAGTTCCCAATGCTTGTTTGAGCACGGGGACACTCTGCCTACCATTAAATCACCCGAAATGTGCCCAATCTCATCACATCTCAGAAGCCAATCAGGCCAGAGCCTGGTGAGTACTTGCATGAGAGACTATCTGGGCATACCAGATGTTGTAGGATTGGTTTTGTGAGGTGCGCAGATGATGGTAGAATAGCTATTGGATTCTTCAATGTATTTGTGTGAAGCTTTGAGTGTTGCCTGCTCATATGCATTGGTTTTTCCCATGTTCTCTGTTTTCCTCCGCATAAGCCAAACACCCATTAATGGAATTGGCCAGCCTTTCCAATTCACGATCCCCTTGAGCGCTGAGACTTACTTGAGGATGTCATGGGTAAAGAGCATTATTATACTCACGGCCACTCTCTATAATAATAATAATAATGATTTACACTGGTAAGATAATAAGCTGAATGGTTCCCAATATGAGTATGGGTTTTTTTTATGATGTTTGTTGACTTTGACATACAGAGCCTGAAATAAAGTGGCTCCATCACGCGTACGTGTAAGTTTCTCAGATTATATTGTTAACCATGCGGATAGAACGGGGTGGGGCGGGGGGGTGAAACGGTGGCACAGTGGTTCACGTGGTGCGCTATACGTTCACGTTCATTCGTTCGCTTCTCAGTCCGCTTGCCCTGTTGAGGGTTGCAGCGGCAGCATGTTGATATGGGCGGTCGAGACCTTCCTTTCCCTGGCGACAGACTCTAGCTGTTCCTGGGGAATTCTCAGGCGTTCCCATGCCATCCGAGCGACAGAGTCGCACCAGGGTGTCCTGGGCCGGCCCCGGGGTCTTCGCCCAGTGAACCGAGTCCGATTGTCGACCGGGGTGAACGTCAGTGGCACATGATAGCTGAATAAGGCCTGGGCCTCCCATTCACCAATCCTGAACTGAGCTGTGTGGTGAAGCGCAGTCAAACAAACCCCCATCACAAATGGCCTTCATCCAGCAGTGGATCGACAAATATATGTCATTCATTATTATCGTTATTATTATGGATGTAACTAAAACTTCAATTTTTTTCTGTTCATTTGAGAATATTGGTTGTATCTCATTCATTATCGTCAACGTTTTTTGTTGTACGAAACTTTTCTTTTCAGAGGGCAGTTGATATGTGTAAGCAGGCTTGACATTTTCCGAGAAATGTCACCATTTAAAAAAATAAAACACAACTTTGAGGAGGAATTTTAAAAGCACTTTAGTGGGTAGCATTTGAACATTAATCAAAATGGTGCGATAAAGAATTAGTTGCAAGCACTTGTAAAACACGCGGAAAATTTGAGACTGAATATTTAACCGAGTTTGTGAAAGAAAACGTCAGTGTTGTAAGACATTTCTGTCAAAGGCTCTCATCCTAATAAAACAATCGAGGGGAAAGGGCTCATGGGGTTTTTTTTTTAGTCACAGCATTAATGCGATGTATTTTAGTTTGCCTTCATTACTACGATTAGAATTATAAGTTACACATGAAGTAGACTCGATTATCCACGCTAATGGTGGGGAGGGCAGCTGCGGAGAATTAAAAATCGCGGATAATAATCAAGAAAATATATACATTTTCCGTGCATCTCTGTATCGATGCGCGTGCTCAGTGACAACACTTTCCTGCTCCCACGCAAAACACTCGGCCCACGAAGTAAGAAGCAGGGTCACGCCAATCAACATCAATCAAACTGCGCCCACTGTTGTAAAGATTTTCAACGACTGTACGGCAAGGAGCAGTCACGTGGATTTCAGATTAACTGGAGCACGTATTTGTTCGGATTAAGCACGTGACTTGTAATACACATTTCCAATAATAACAAAATACAACTGTTTTTAGATTATTAATTTGGGATTCAGGGAAAATCCATGAGTTTATAATGTATGAAAAAAATCTCAGGTGCGCGGTTAATCCACAAATCTGATCAACAGCACGTGGATATTCGAGAGTCTACTATATATGCGATTCTTCCATTCACAATAAAACAAAATCTGCAGAGTGAAATCCTGGTAAGTGGATGGGTTGAAAAAATAGGGAATGTGATGTTTCCACCATCAGCTCCGGGTTTCTAGAGCACATTAAAGTCCACTAAATGTCTCATTTGAAGACAGAGGTGACGTGTGTTTGTCGTAACCGAATAATCACTGGAGCAAAGGGTTGAGTATACTCAGCGTGGTGAAAGCCTCCTGTGGCTGAAGAGTTGTGAATGTGCACTGAAAAAAATAATAATTTGGGGATTAACTTGTAATGTGTGACCTGGTAAAAGTTTAGTTTTTAGTTAACTTTTCCAGTTTTTACAGTATGCAGAGAAAAACAAAATCTCTATCCCTTTTAAAATAACTCTTTAAGAGTTTTTTTTTACCACGATAAAAATATTACTTTACAAGTCTTTGCATGCTTTGTTTCTGCAAAAAATGTCTAGAGCGCCTGCAGAAACCGCCTAAGATACCCCTGTGCACAGTGAGTGTAGTATAATTTAAATATTTCAAGTATATTTTGTTTAAACAGGTAAGACCTCAAGCGACCAGGATAGCCTCATTTGCAAGAGGGACCTGGGGCATTATTCTTCCAGTTGGCAGCGATGATTACTTTGGTTTAAAAAATGATGTTTACTTTGTTGAGTCTGAAGTGAGCACGGTAATTTGTGGTGTATTTTCGAATTTGACAATTTTGGACCCTGAAACCAGCATACATTGGACTCCTGTTGCGAATTATGTCAGAGGATCTTTCACTTCCACTGTGTAGCAGAGGGCACTCAGTATTACGATTATTACACACAGTATTAATCAGGGTGGCCACTATATTCGAACCGTTTCTTTTAGCAATAAAATCTACTTTTATGGGTATGTAATTTAACATTTTTGCCCAACTCTGAAAAACATACATACTTACAGTGAGGGAAAAAAGTATTTGATCCCCTGCTGATTTTGTATGTTTGCCCACTGACAGAGAAATTATCAGTCTATAATATTAATGGTAGGTGTATTTGAACAGTGAAAGACAGAATAACAACAACAAAAATCCAGAAAAACGCATGTCAAAAATGTTATAAATTGATTTGCATTTTAATGAGGGAAATAAGTATTTGACCCTTCTGCAAAACATGACTTAGTACTTGGTGGCAAAACCCTTGTTGGCAATCACAGAGGTCAGACGTTTCTTGTAGTTGGCCACCAGGTTTGCACACATCTCAGGAGGGATTTTGTCCAACTCCTCTTTGCAGATCTTCTCCAAGTCATTAAGGTTTCGAGGCTGACGTTTGGCAATCCAAACCTTCAGCTCCCTCCACAGATTTTCTATGGGATTAAGGTCTGGAGACTGGCTAGGCCACTCCAGGACCTTAATGTGCTTCTTCTTGAGCCACTCCTTTGTTGCCTTGGCCGTGTGTTTTTGGTCATTGTCATGCTGGAATACCCATCCGCGACCCATTCTCAATGCCCTGGCTGAGGGAAGGAGGTTCTTACCCAAGATTTGACGGTACATGGCCCCGTCCATCGTCCCTTTGATGCGGTGAAGTTGTCCTGTCCCCTTAGCAGAAAAACACCCCCAAAGCATAATGTTTCCACCTCCATGTTTGACGGTGGAGATGGTGTTCTTGGGGTCATAGGCAGCATTCCTCCTCCTCCAAATACGGCGAGTTGAGTTGATGCCAAAGAGCTCCATTTTGTTTCTCATCTGACCACAACACTTTCACCCAGTTGTCCTCTGAATCATTCAGATGCCCATTGGCAAACTTCAGACGGGCATGTATATGTGCTTTCTTGAGCAGGGGGACCTTGCGGGCACTGCAGGATTTCAGTCCTTCACGGCGTAGTGTGTTACTAATTGTTTTCTTGGTGACTATGGTCCCAGCTGCCTTGAGATCATTGACAAGATCCTCCCGTGTAGTTCTGGGCTGATTCCTCACCGTTCTCATGATCATTGCAACTCCACGAGGTGAGATCTTGCATGGAGCCCCAGGCCAAAGGAGATTGACAGTTCTTTCGTGTTTCTTCAATTTGCGAATAATCACACCAACTGTTGTCACCTTCTCACTAAGCTGCTTGGCAATGGTCTTGTAGCCCATTCCAGCCTTGTGTAGGTCTACAATTTTGTCCCTGACATCCTTGGAGAGCTCTTTGGTCTTGGCCATGGTGGAGAGTTTGGAATCTGATTGATTGATTGCTTCTGTGGACAGGTGTCTTTTATACAGGTAACAAGCTGAGATTAACAGCACTCCCTTTAAGAGTGTGCTCCTAATCTCAGCTCGTTACCTGTATAAAAGACACCTGGGAGCCAGAGATCTTTCTGATTGAGAAGGGGTCAAATACTTATTTCCCTCACTACAATGCAAATCAATTTATAACATTTCTGACATGCGTTTTTCTGGATTTTTTTGTTGTTATTCTGTGTCTCACTGTTCAAATAAACCTACCATTAAAATTATAGACTGATCATTTCTTTGTTAGTGGGCAAACGTACAAAATCAGCAGGGAATCAAATACTTTTTTCCCTCACTGTATACGTGTGACCTGATGCACGTCTTTTATGCGTAAGAATGTTTTGAGGAATCGATATATTTTTACACCCCTAGCATCTAAGTCGATAACTAAAACAACGACATCAACAACTGTAGAGCATTTGTGAATATAGATCAGACTGAGACTTTAATTATTTCAGCTCGGTGAGGCCCATTGAATCAAGCAGCTATTTGTACAAGGACAGCCAGATTGATTAATGCCATCACAGAACCCATATTCCAAATGAAAAAAATTACCAACCACTAGTTTTTTTGTTTAATATGTAGGCTTTCGTGACTAATATTATCCATAATAGAGGTTTTTTTTGGGTTAGATCACGTAAATATAAATGTGTCGTTAAACCTACCACCACCCGATGTAGCCATTTAGTAAGGCTCTTGTCTGATGATGCAATTTGTAATTACCGGCGAAACTTCATACTCGAATTGTGGGTTTACTCTCCAACACACCGATGTGCTGAACTAGTAACAAATTGGCACGTTTTGTTTATGTAACAGACCTTACTAATTGGCTGTGTCAGATGGTGGCAGGTTTTACAACACATTTGTATCCACGCGATATAATCCAAAAACTCTACATTTTAAGCTTTCGCGACTGCAAGGATTCATACTCTTTGGTTTTATTCGGTAAAGTCACGTGGACAGCCAAAAAAAACCCCTCTATTATGCACACATTTTTTTACGAAAAGTTAATAAGTTTGACATTTGTATCATCTGCCGCTCGCAACCAAAGGTGTTGTCTCGCAAATTGCTTGAACTTGCTTTCACAGTAATATAGAACGTAAATGAATGGAATGTATCGCTGCATTGTTAACCACTGAAGATGTGTTGTTAACGGTTTTGTTTGTGTGTCCTGTGTCCCACCAGTTGTTGGCTGTCTCTTGAGGGAGGCCTGCTTTATTCATTTGTAGGACCTGCTGCTGCTGTCGTCTTGGTAAAAACACAATATCCAAATGCTTTCACATTGGCTTAGATTCAATGCAACAGAACAAGATAACAGCGCTATACATTGAACTACCTCTGTGTGCTATATATATATGTAATTCGCGATCTTTTTTTGGGGGGGGGGGGATTTAATTTTTGATATTTACATAATGGTGTAAATGTCACCAAAACTGTCATGCTGAGTGTATTCTTTGATAGTGCTGACCTTATGTTTTTGAAAGTATGCGTCATATTATTTTAGAGACGTCATCACGATTGCACCGTTAAAATAACACAGATGACATGTCGTGGACAACAAGTCCCAGTTCCTTAAAGTGGCTGCATTGTTTTATGTACACGATCCTTCCCCTGATTTTAGGGATTATCAGACCTGTAACGGGGGCTTCCTGTTTGGATGAGTTTGCGTGGATTTGTAAACGCAGCCCGTGAGGGCGATCCGGATTCCTGTTGTGTGTTTTTTTTTGCTTTGTACAGGTCAACATGGTTTTGGGAATTCTGGTCTTTAACAAGCTCGTGTCCAAAGAAGGCATTCCTGATAAAGAGCTGAAACACAGGGCAGGGTGAGTACCCATCAACATTTGTTGGCTGTCTCTTGAGGGTTGTTTTTTTGGGGGTTAGATCATGTAAATATACAACTCTGGCTGTCGCCTCATGATGCTAGTTGTAAGTAAGTGTTGTGGTTCTACTTTCCAACACACCGGTGTGCTGAACTAGTTACAAATTTGCATTTTGTTTTTTTACGTGACAAACCTTACTAATTAGCTGTGTCGGGTGGTGGCGCGTATAATGACACGTATGTTTTCGCGATCTAACCCAAAAAAACCTATTGTGGATAGCATTTGCAAAATGGTGTTCATGCTTAACACTGAACTTAAAACAAGCTGGGGTGAAATTCAGTGCCATTAGCGTGTCGCTTGCAAGCCACCGTGCTCTCACTGGGTCACGTGAGACACATTTTGGTTAAGTAGTGATGGTGCAGTCTGTTCTGCTATAACGCTGCGTGTTTTCACAACGCGAATTGGATATGATGCGATGAACGTGTTCGGGAAAAAAAAAATATTCATAACGCGGATGCGAATTGGATATGACGCGATTGAGCAAATTAAACTACGTCGCGCAAGTAGGAATAAGCGGTCGTACGGCTGCCTCGGCGTAGCATCGCACAAGGCGAGATGCTGTTGGATGCTTCCGGATGCTACCACCCACACACCTTAGTCTTCGTTCAGCCTGCATACGCATCTCACGTGTTATTGCGGACTGTGCTTTACCCCTATATTATATATTATTCATTATAACGCGATTTTTACATAACGCTGTGTTCTTCAGGAATGCAACTACCGCGTTATAGGAGAACAGACCGTATCTTCATTCCATGAATGAATGAGCCTTTTTACGGAAAGACATTACACCTGCGTGATTTGTCAAATCAAGACAAACATGTCTTCCTACTCAAATGAGCAATAGGAGGATGTAGCTCCTTTTCATTGACTAACCTGAGCCAGTGGGGGAAATTCCACGTTCCTCTATGGCATGGGCTAGTTTCCCTACCGAACAACCAATGTTGATATTATCATCCCTCGGAGAGAAAAATAGGCAGTTGACCTTTGATCAGGATTTAAACTTGTAAACCTCTAATTATCAGAATGTCAGAAGCGAGGACTGCCGTAGTGAGAGTAAGGAGAGATTGTAGTACCCTGGTTTACTTTAAACCCCACGGGAGGCTGGCTACTGATGGCGGGGGTAGAATTGGGGTTGAGCTCTCAATAGCTATTAAATACCCCACAAGGCCAGTATCCCTGATAGCCTCTTACACGAGTTGGATAGAGATGAACACGGTGAGACGACATCAAGGAAACACCACGAGAGCGTGTGCTGAGAGGACGTGCTGGCCCTAGGTTGACGCACTGACCTCTGACCCCAGAGCGGACACTGAAGAATAGAAGGACGATTGATCAGAGCGCCACATCGCTGGATGTGATTTTGTCAGAGCATGAAAAGCCACGCGGGGCAGCGCACAGCTGCGATGCAGCATTGCAGAGGCAAGCGAATGCTTCCACACCGTGTTATTTGGGTCTTTCGGTAAAGTCACGTAGATAGGTTCAAAGAAAATAACGAAAACAATTACAAAAAACTACGACGTTTCGATCGCAACACAAGCGCTCGTCATCAGGAGGAAAAAAAAAGTCGTAGTTTTTTTGTTATTTTCTTTGAACCTATCTACGTGACTTTACCGAAAGACCCAAAGAATATGAATTGCTGCAGTCAAGAAAGCTTTAAGTCAAAACTTCCACACCAGCTGGGCTGCGGGGTGATCGTCGTGGGGGGGGGGGGGGGGGGGGGGGGGGGTGGTGACAGCAGTGCAGTGAAGACCAAATGCAGAAGATCCCTGGCTTCGATCTTGGGCAAAGCCTCTGGGGGGCCACAACCCTAAAACCGCATCCACTGCACAAACCCTGGCAGCGCGTGAAGATAACTTGATGCGCATAATGGAAAATAAAATAAAAATAAAAACTCTCCGGCAGCGTGCAGCGGCTGTGGTCGCCCACAACAGAAGCATGGAACATTGGACGACTCAATGCTCTTTTCATGAATAAGGAGGCATACGGTGCGAAAGAAGCTCAACATACATACATTATAACGCCGATACACCATTCCGCTCCTCCTGATGCAATTATCCGGCTCATCCACCTCAATGCAAAGTTGCAGCTGTTGCTCTACATCATCCATATGCAGAATATGGCTGAAGTGCAGACGATAAATGAGTTCATAGCCAATGTATGCAGATCTTTGAGTGTCATCGACTGGTATTTCAGGGATTTTGCTGGGTCGTCTGGCTACCTCCCACATCAAAAACACTTTTCGGGAAAACATTTTTTTAACCCACCTAATTAAAGAGCTTCTTCAAAAAGTTTTGAGATGAGGCTTCCCTGGATTGGTAAATAAACTAAAGAATAATATAAATAATTGACAATCACAGAGGTTATCATGCAAAATTCAGCTGCAGTGAAATGAGGCCATCTGGTGTAGCCTTGGAACGACGAATAGCCCAGGTTTTGTGCACAGATACACATTTCAGATATCTGGTACTAAGTGGGGCTTGGGGAGAAAATTGCCACGGAAATTCCCTTCCCCTGGTTCTATTAGACTGGGGAGAAAGCCAGGACAGCACACTGTTGTATGTTCTGAATTCCCCTGGCAGAATATTGTATATCACAATGACATTCCAGCTTGAAAGGGCAAGAAAAGTATCTGTGTCAAAGTAATCAGGAGTACTGCATAACATCAACGTTGCACTTGGGTGAGAATGCACGCTTTGCATGCGCTATGTGTGCAAAGTTATTTTTAAATTTATTTCTTGAACAAATGTTCGTGATATACATTGTCGTTACTGTGATTTTTGACCATGCCAGGCACTATTTCCTATAAATTAGAACAGTGGAGACTATAAGGAAATAAATAGGCGGATGTTATTTAAAGATATAAACATTGTCTTTGTGAATAACCCATTTTATGGGAGCTGATAGGCCACCTATCACTACGCTCAGGATATATTGTCTCCATCTGGCCATTCGTACATCTGAGGACAATTCACCTGTTTTAATGAAAACTACAAACCCCTGATTCAGCCTCTATGAAATATCTGACACAGCTTATCAATACCAATATCCTTCTCCGTGTAAGGGTCATGTAAGGACGCCTCAAATAAATTAATTAAAGAGGCTGCGCTAGCTCAGCTGTTCGATGAGGAAGCAAGGGATTTGATGAAGGGTTCGAATGTGGAAAAAAAGCGGGCGTGGAGGGCGGTTGGAGGCGAGAGAGAGAAAGGGGCAGGATTGGAAGACAGTTGGAGAAGGCATGGTTTAGAAGGAACATTCCAGGAGGTTGGAGAAGAAACAGGGCAGAAGGAATCAAATCGGGCCGTGACGTAAGCAATGGGCTCTTGGAGAGATGGTTCAGTGATAATTATCTGAACCGGTCCTGTGCCTCCCCAACATCATCGACTCAGCCTCAAATGAGTACCTGGTCAGGTGTGTAAACATCGCCACTCGGGAGACAGAAAGCGGCGAGCTTGTCGCGTGATGGAGGGTTAATGGTAGGAATGTTTGCAGGAAACTACCACGTGGCCTCAGCCAAATACAGATGGATCAACGTCTTGGCTACGGAAGCCTACGTTTTAAGTGATGCCGAACTGCTTTGAATCCGACCGCCGAACGAAAACACTGCTGTGGCATGAGTCCTTGCAGTGTTGTACATCGTTGCATTTCTGGGAAGTTCACGGAGCCCAGGTTCATGGACAAAAATAATCACAGGACTCTGATCCTGTGTGGTCGATGGGGGCGCCTGGCATGCAGCGATAGGGCACCAGCAGGAACGCAGGGATTTGGGGCTACCTGGAGCCGGAGACATTTTTTAAAATTTAATGAAAAATTGTGTTCTTTTGAGGTTGTCAGCAGCATCGTTTGTTTCATGTTTTGTAGGCCAAAGTTCCAATACAGCTGATGCATTTAATTAACCTTTTCGGAAATTCAGTTTCATATGTAAATGTTTATTATTAATATTTATACTTTTTGAGAGATATATGCAGAATGTATACACAGCATATAGTTTTTTGTTTTTATTTTACCCAGGAAAGCGTGAGTCTGACGATCCCTTAGTAAGGAGATTATTACCTGCCATGTTTGGCCAATTGCTTATTGAGCGTTTTGTACAGGGGGGATAATGGGAGTGTACAGTCTACACTCTACAGAAACACAACAGTGTTCTCGTACTTGCCATGCTGCCTCCTACTGACTACTCAGCCGTCCATTTGAGCGTTTCATGTTTGTTTTGTGTGTTCATGATCCAGCAACCTCACATCCGAAGCGTTGGGTTAGACATGTACTTCATTGTTAATGGGATTCCTTAAACTATTGCTCTGCTGGGTAGTCCTGTGGCCAAGTGAACTTGACTCACAAGAAGTATCGAGATCTCATCCCTTGGTCAGGAGCTGTCAGCCTATTGTGGTTGCTGAAATTACCACCACTTTTGTGGGAAGTCGACAGCAGTGGGGGTCACCGCCTCCGCTACATGCGCAATGTATGTTACATATGTTGAACTTCTTTCACACCATACGTAGCCAACCGTGCTAATCATAAGTCTAACTGTGCTAATCGCAAGTCACAGCAGCAAGATGTGAATCAATAGGTCTTGATTAGAATTGGTTTTACTTCTTTCTGGCAATAAAACAGTTTGTGTTAAGATGTTAATACGCCTAACATAAACCTTTTGCAAGAAATCGTGTCTGCGTTCACCACACGTACTCGTGGTGAACATGCATACACAAACATGCTGTGGTAGTGTATGATGCATTGCATTTGAAAATCATTGGTCCAAACCAGAGACAGCTTTCTTTAGAGCCTAGTCTCAAACAGTGTTAGACCAGAGGACGCCAAAAGGAAAACATCACAAAGACAACGCCTATATTACCAGAGCATGTTTGTTGTTTGCATGTTCACCACGAGTACTGTGTGCGGTAAACGCAGACACGATTCCTTGCAAAAGGTTTCTGTTAGGCGTATTAACATCGTAACACAAACTGTTTTATTGCCAGAAAGGGGTAAAACCTATTCTTATATTTTGATACTGACAAGAAAGGTCCCATGCGGTATTGATCAAATACCGGGGAAGTGCGCCCAACAGGGCACGTTTGGACGAGTAAAAAGTGAGAGAGTGGAGAATCACACTCCTAAATTTCGAGCACCTTGGCTGCTCTTTAACCTTCCTTTTCTGTCTGCCCAGCCGCCACCCTCCTCCGATCCGGTGGTGGTGCCCGGTGACATGCTAATTCATATGTTAATTCCGCCCACACAGCTTAAAAGACGCGACCCATGCTTAGCAATGTTCACTCAAGCGCTGTCTTCTGGACAGTCCTGTTCATTCACCTGAAGAAGGCTACTTGTGTTGTGGCCGAAACGTCGTGAGAATCTTATTTTATTATGTTTTATTGTTATTATTTTATTTCCATTCTACGTGACTTTACCGAAAGAACCAAGAAGATGAATCACACTCCTCTCATCATCCGTTCACTGCGGTGACTGGACGGTCGCAGTTGGGAGATGGTGCCAGAGGCAGTGCTGGAGCTAACATGTGCGGTTTCCCCGTACCTCCGATAAAAGCACGGTTGGCTACGTACTGCTGCAACAGAAGTTCAACATGCATGCATAATGGGAATGCGATCGGGGGGAGTTAAAGCGTGGCGTTCTCACGGGGGCTTGCGACGCCGCCGTGCTGGTGGCGAGACACCGTGGGGTTGTCTTTGGCCGAGCCATGCTGTGTGCTGTGCATGTGTGCCCAGTAGTGTAGTAGCGGTTAGCGCGCTGCGTGGCCAACACCAGTAACGATTATCTGAACCGGTTCTTGAGATGAGGTACCTGGTGCAATTCGTAAACATCGCCACTGGGGGGGCAAAGGCGGCCGGGCATGGTGCTAGCCACCCACCCTCGTTTGCCGTGCCGGCCTTCGAAAAGTGCTACTCGCTAATAATAATTGCCTCAACAGTTTGCTAAGGCTATACGGGGGATCTTTGTCTTTGTGCCCACTCGCCAGGTCGTCGCTGTGGAGCTCGTGCGTGGTGTTGCCTCTCCTCGCCCTCACGTGGATGTCGGCCGTTTTGGCCATCACTGACCCCCGCTCAAGCCTCTTTCAGATCCTCTTCTCAGTCTTCGACTCCCTGCAGGGCTGCGTCATCTTCAGTGTTCACTGCATCCTCAAGAAAGAGGTGCGTGGCACCCAAATGTGATTTTTTTTTATTAACTCGCTGGGTTTTTTTTACATTCATGGTATCATTCTTGAAATCCAATGGAGTTGCATTGGTGGGATTAGAAACATACAAATGTGGCTTTTAACGTGTTTTAAGGATGGTCCTACCTTGATATGCTTGAGCACGTGCTTGAATGATTGTTTTTTGATTGAGTGCCCAGAGAAAACTCACATAATACGAGGGATGAATGCACCTATTGCACACAGATCGGTCATTATAAAGACTTGCTGCAATGCCTTCTGCAGGTGGATCATTGCCCTAAAGATGAATGTCTCACTCACTTGACGGCTCCATCTCCATGTGATTCACCCACGCAACCTCTCCCAGTGGGTTGGATTTACAGGCATATACGCCGCCATCATCCGGCCAAATATCAAGAGCTATAATCTCATAATTCACTAGACAAACAGGGCCCTGCTGCTGTAGAAAATTAGCTGCGAGTCATACCAGTGTAAAATAAAAATGAAAAATGATTAGCCGTTGCTCATGGACAACTGCAGACCTGTACATGAGTCACTGCTAACATATTTACTGATTTACCATAATGCAGTGGGGGAGGGGTGGGAGAGGAGTGGGGGGGGGTGCCGGGTTACAAGAATCAGAAGGTGCAGAGCGAGTTGGAAATTCAAATATCATTTGGCTTAGAATTAATTGCATCCGCTGAAAACGAGGTGATCTAAATTGAAGTTTATTGATGTATACATAATTTATACCAATTCTCATTGGAGAATGCCTCTACAACTCCAACGACACCACAATTGTGTTTGAAAAATGTGTCGAGTATTATGCAGCATGCAAATCAGATTTTTAATGTGTTTTTTTGCATGCATGTTCACGGTTAACTCCTAAAACAATGTTTTTGCAAGTTTCTCCAAATCAGTGATTGTACAATTCTCAATCAGTTGATCGTCATTTTGCCGTGTTTTCAGGGTCCAACTCACGCATTGGAGAGAGCTCCTTTTTCTCCACTCGTTGTAAAAAAAAAGTAAAAAAATATATCTATCAAAAACACGTGCCCCCAGTTGTGTCCATCACCAACAAAGAAGCAAATTACCTTCAGTGATGTGTTTCGGCCATTTCCTACAGCGTGTGAATCCGGGCCCCAAATGTCAACGTCCAACGTGAAGCATTCTACAGAGTCAATACGAGACAACGAATTGGGTTATGGTGACCCCGATGGTGTGATGGTGTTGACTCCTGACCACCTATTGTTTTACATCAACACTGTCCAAAAATCAATAATGCTTGGACAGGTGTGGGGATGAGTTCACGTGCCACGTCCCATGATCTCATGTCACAGTGATCAACAGCAGTGTATTCGTGCCCTTTGTCCCCAAAGAGGGCATTTCGTTTTTGCATCACTTAAGGAATCAGTGGTATAGATGAGTCTGCATTTTGTACGCTCTGTTTTGTAGTTTGATGCCCGTTCAGGACAGTGGAAACGCGGCGCGTTATTTTTATTGTGACAGTTCTACGTGAGCACGTGTCCTCTGGGGAGTAGAAAAGAGCATAGCTGCAATAAGGAAATTGACAGATTTCCTTTTTTTAATACATGCCTGTTTAATACATGTGCTGACCTTTATCTAAATACAAAATGTCACGTGTAGAACAATATAGGGGTTTTATTTTACATTTATAATCGGCCGAATTTTTTTTTTTACATATATCTTTTAAAAGTATCGCTGAAACATTTATCTTATGCTTTGTTTACATTCAAACGGGCTTCATTTTGACATCATGGATGGAGCCTGCAGAGAGTACCAAACTGGATGTGCTACGTGCGGGGAATTGACCCTTTAACGTAGAACCTTAATTTCACCACCACATTGAAGAATGCACCTGCAGCAGTCGTTTTGCGATAAATGAATGCAAATTCGCCAATAGCTTCGCTGTTTACTTATTTATATGATTTTGCCGCACGTCCAGCTGAAGCAATTGCAACTTCCGCACGAGAAGAAAGTTAACCAAAGGAAATTGCGGTGGACGCGATGAAAGAATCCCACATACACCCACGCAGCTATGACCAGGCTTACATATGCGTAGTCACACACCCAGCCAGCCAGCTGGAGATTTAAAATCGTGATTCATGGCTTAAAATGAATGCAGCAAAGGTCATCACCACCTTAGCCCCACAGTAAAAAAAAAAATGAGTCTTTCTCCCTATTACCCCATAGGAATACTGTCTACCCTTAGAATTTGAAACTTGTGAAGACAAATAGGGGGAAAAGCCAAAAGCTTTGGGTTGCCAAGTGTCCGTGTGTGTGTGCAACGAAGCCTCGTGAATGCGTGATTCAACGTTCCCTTAAAGCACCCTGGCGCACGGCAACGTTACAAAATTGTCCGTCACATTGTGTTGGATAAAAGTAAACTCGTTAACAACCTGAAGGCTAATGGAGCCATGAATATTTCCAATCATGAAAAATGGTCCCCACTGAAATCATGCAGTAACTCGGGATTTTTTTTTTTAACACGCAATTCTGAATGCCCGCAAAGTTTTCACCCGGGAAACATAATTGAAGCGCGTGTTAAAAAAAAAAAATGAACCTACAAGCAATGCACATAGACCAGCTCTGTGTGCCAGGCTTAACAATTTATTGTCATAAACCTGACGGAGAGGTGTGCAAACAAACACAGTGACAGCGTCTTGCACGGTCTATGAGCTACCCCGTGCTCGGCAGTGTAACAGCATCCAACCCAATGCTTTTGACGGCCCAGAGTGGACAAGTGTTTTATTTTCCTCGAGAAACGTGTCAACCGTGCTCCGAAAAGTACCGTGATGTCTGCACAATGTGATTCTTGGCCATTTATCAGTCTCTGAAATACCCTTATTAAGACGTGGCATAATCACCCGAATTATGCCACTGCTTGGAACCCCATGGCTTAGACTGTCAACCATTATCCCATAGTCTGTGCCAGTCCGCTACCGCCTGGTCCTCACCTGCTTTCTTGGAGGTTTCAGGAGAGTCGAGGCCCTGGTCCTGACCTGCTGCTCGGATGATTGGCTTTTTGTGGAGTTGGGGTTGGGACTCGAGTGTGGCAGAAAGGATGGATGGTGATGTCACAGGACCGCTGCTTGAGTACCCGTGTCGCGGCTGGCAAGAGGGGGCAATGTCACGTCAGAAGACAAATTGGCCGTCCCTGAAGCATTCCATTATGGCCGGTCGTGCATGGATGTCGGGTGAATCGGGGAGCTCCCCACGTGACGTTCCTTTGGCCTTTGCCTGTGACAAATCGCCTAAGGACGCGATGGCAGAAAATTTGTTGAGGCACAAATCACGGACAAATGAAATAAAAACTCTTCGGTGCCCCACGTGCACTGTGGGTACGAAACAACGACAACTATCGGGAAGCGATCTCGCCGTTGCTCTGTGGCGAAGCAGAAAGCTAATTCTATCCCTCCTCTGCCTCGGGATACGTGGAGCCCAGGCAGTCGGTGAGCAGCCACTCTGGGACGTGATGTAGTGTCGGGCTCAGGGCTAGACCTCGGTGCCCCTCAAAAAACCTTTTGGGAAATAGCTGACACTGCACGTGAGGAATGGACGACCAGATTATGGGAAAAAACGGTTGTGCATGTATACCGCCAGGGGTCTGGGCAGTTATCCGTACCCGCCATTGTGCTAATGTCGCGCGCATTATAAAATTTAAAAAAACGGAGAATGGCCAACTATTGCATTTATTTAGCCATCCCGATACTTTGTGGAGCACATATATTACATATTGGCTGTTTTTACAGGTGCAAAGCGCCATCAAATTTCGGATTACAGGACGACTGGAGCCCAGTGAGCCCTGCAGCTATTTCCAAAATGGCCATGCGCAAATAATGGTGAGACCCAGTATTCTATCATCACGGCAAAGCAAACAAAACAAAAATATGGCCAAAAAAGATTTACGTACCATTCCATTTTCCCAAACCACAGAAATAATTATAATCTTAACAATGTTAAAGCTTTCTTAAAATGCAATTTATGGTTTTGTGTCTTGCAGCGTAGCAAAATTGATGTTCTGCACAAATTGATATATGCTCGCAATTGTAAAACAAAGGAAGGTTAAAATTGCCCCTACAGTTCAATATGGCACCCGTGATGTGCTGGGTGTTTTAAATTTAATATGATGCTTAAAATAAATTCAATAGGTGGCTGGTCCACAGGAAGAATTAGTGTTTGTTTTCTGTTTGCGTTCACCACATGGATCGCTCTAACGATGTACATAATTTACACATACACATTTACATAAGCGCGCATGCAGAAATATTACTCGATTTACATGCTGTGTGTATTGTGCATTTTCACGTAGGCCGTCTCATTTACTCGGAGGCTATTCCACATCCACAAATGTTTACGGCCATTTAACTTAATTTCATCTTTGAAATGCGATCACACGCGCGCGTTCGCAATTGTTGCGGAGAAACGAGCGCTCTTTTGAGTTCTACGTGGACGTTTGGTTTTTGATTTTTACCGTTGCAAATTTGTTACAGACAGACTTTGAAAAGGACGTTGATCTCGCTTGCCGCTCAGGTATCGTGACACTCTTTGCCTCTTGCCTCTTTGCTGCATCGTCCCGCGTAGAATGATAAATGAAAACTATATCCGTAATTAAATCATCGTAAACAAATATGGCCTCGGGCGATTTAAAGCAAAGTAATTGTGTTTAACTCTTTCAGTGTTTTCAATACCGTGCAAGCAATATGCGTATGCGTGAAATAATTGCAGTTAAATGTTTTTGCTCGTTTTAAGTAATGGCTTTCATTTGTATGCATATATCGACTATTTATGTCCAGCGTGGGGATTCTCTTTTAAAATAGCTGCGCGAAAATTATATTTTTCATTTTCAAAATGTCATGTTTTCACAATTGACTTTTTTTTTATGAATCACATATTGTACCTCGGTTGCCAGAGAAGCCACCCTAATGCAATCAAGTGGCTTGTGTCTTAGCATTGCATAGAATATCCTGGAGTAGGCTACATGCCAGTGGTGTAACAATGTCCCGAATCATCGACTAGTGTTCATTCTTAACTTCACGATAAATACATCTAATTGCATGCGTAAGAATGTATGTTTTAGGTGTGTGTATATGTTGGATGAGGGGTCAGTGCAGTGGTTAGCGCGCTGCGCTACAAACCCAACAACCAGAATTCTATTCCCGCTCACGGCCAACACCTGTGACGATTATCTGAACTGATATTGGGCCTCCTCTAGGTTGACTTAGCCTCAAATTAGTATCTGGTGCGGCGTGTAAACATGGCCACTGGGGAAACAAAGGCGGCCGGGTGTGGTGCTGGCCTTCATAGGTGCTCGCTAACAGGACTTGTTCCAACAGTATGTTGAGGCTATAAAGGGGATCTTTGTCCTACATTGTATGAAATCGGGTGACGTTACCCCCCGTAGCCACCGGACGTACCCCCACCCACGGCATTGTTAAAAATAAGAATCGATTCTTGATTCGAATTATAACCCTGAATCGTCAAACTTCCTTGAATCGCTGAATTCTGGAATTATAACCCGATTATATGAAAATACGGACGATATGCATATGGTGCTGTGGGAAATCAAACTGAATATTTTAGTTCACGTAATAAGTTCACTGCAATAATATAACCATCGGTGTCTTTTCGTGCTTAAGCTTTGTGACTGGAATACAAATGTGTTTTTTTGAAGAGCCCTATTTTTTTTTTAAAGAGCCCTATCATTAGCCTGGTTCTATTCGTTCCAGTTCTATATTTTTCAAAACGAATCACTCATTATTCTGCATACTAGTGTGTGTGTGCGTGCTTATTTTTTTTTACGTAATTTTATTGCTATAAAGTCCACCAGATCTAAATAATAATTGAAAAAAATCGGTGTATTGACCGCAACTTTAAATCAAACCTACAGATGCCGCAGATCTTGCAGACTGTGAATAGCTCCCGGTTAGATTGTAGGTGAGTGCCATGGTTATAGTCAAGGAGTATAAAAATAGAACGTAATGGCACATTCAGCAGCAGTGCCATTGTTATAGCGAGTGGCTCAATAACAAGACATTTCACTTCAATGTGTGGCAGAGCAAGAGCAAATTGAGTTGTGCTATTGCATATTACAGACCCAGAATGGCTGCGCTGACCGTGCGCAAAAAACGTTCGGGTGCTGTGAGAGTACAACAAAAAAATAACAACATGAACCAAAAAGAAAATTACCCATGTATAATGCATATTGTCTGTGGAATTATAACCGTGAATGTTTCCAACAGCCCTTTATTCCATTGCGTTTATTCCAGTGTTACATCAGAAAGACATAAAACCCTCTCGGTCCTCCACAGTCGCGAGCACCCTATCGCGCACCTCCGCACCGGACGACGGCGGCAACAATGAGCAAACGGAGATGCAGCCCTGCCTGGGCCAGACGCGTCTGCCAGGCAGCTCCGCAAACGAAATCCCCATGCACCCGGTCACGCAGATCCACATGAGCACCATGTCCACGCTGCCTCGATTCCAGGAATCCTCCTCAGTCGTGCGATTCCAGGATTCGGCAGCGACACTGCCGCGCTTCCAAGACTCCGCCGGTCAGATGCTTCACGTACACGAGCACGTGAACGCCCGCGGCGCTCTGGACCACGGCCCCCACGGCCAGCGCTTCCAAGAGAGCAGCGCCACCATGCCAAGGTTTCAGACGTCGGGGGCGGCGACGTCCTCGAGATACCAGGATGGCGGTGCTCGGGTCGTGGGATTTCAGGATCCCATCTCGCAGATCTCGGGGCAGCAGGTGGTCGGCGGTTACGGGGGGTTCGGCGAGCGCGTGAGGCTCGGGCAAGAAAGCGGTGGCAGCGGTGGAAATGGGCACCGGGCCAATTTTGGCCTCCCGTTTGGAGGCGGTGGTGGCGGTGGCGGCGGCGGCGGCGGCGGTGGCGGCGACAGATTCAGCCGCACGGACAGTGATCTGCTGCGTGCGCAAGAGCGGGCTCTCGAGAAGGACTACATCGTCCTGCAGAGTAGCCTCAAGGAGGGCAAGGGTGGCACGTTGGACGGCCGGCAGTCGGATGGTGGGGGCGGCTTGGGGTACGGTGCGCGGGGAGGGGGCGGCGGTGGTGGTGGTGGTGCGTCCACGGGGCCGCGGATGGGGCTGCAGTCCCGGAGAACGATGATCAAGCCCGGCCAGCGGGGAAACAACGCGTCCAACACCTTAACGAGTCTGCCGGAGTTTGACAAGGGGGTGATACGGCAGCTGCTCAACAGCGAGTCGGGATCCACCACTTCGGTCAACTCGCTCGATGTAGGTCTTAGACCCAGCCCTGATCAAGCGCTGCCCAATTGCAATGAAGGGGTCTCGTTTTCAGATGATGATCCACAGATGGTTTATCAAATGGAGGCACAAGTGGCTTCAACGTGTGACCAAATGACACTGAACGTACCAAGTCTTGTCAGATCTCAGAAGCTAAGCGGGGCTGTAATTGCTAAGTCATTGGATGAGAGGCTACCTGGAATATTGGGTGTTGTAGGTTTGGGCTGTAAATTGGCCGAGAGATGTTACCTCCCTCATATGCGTGGGCTTTTTCTGGTTTCCTTGCATTGGCCAAACATGCAAATGCTGCAGGACCTTCCAAAAATGTACTCGAGACACGATAAAGCTTTCCTAGTTAATTAAACGACGTTATTAGAATTATATCTCGTGGGCCAGATGAGGATCGCATTTTTCCATATACCAAATATTTCCTTTTAAAGCATTACATGTGTCGGTTGTTAGGGTGATTGGCATGGAAAAAATAGACAAGCAAAGGCTATGTATGAGTTGAGTATTGTGCCTTTGTGTGCATAGGCATTTCCAGCTACTCTTAAGTTTCCTCCAATATTAAGCCAATCACTCATTTATGGAATTGCCCAAACATCCCGAGAAAATGTTAAGACTAAATGAGGCCTTCCTGGAGAAATTATTATTATGATTATGGTTATCATAATCAACCGTAAAAAGACAAATTAACATAATTATGGATTCACACCTTTCTTGCTGCCTGCTAAAGTGGTAACCTCCGATTGGCTTAACTTGAAATCAGTTTCTAGCCATCTTAGTCTAACGCGAACTTCTTCTCTGTCTGTACAGCAACCTGAACAATAAATATTATCAGCAGACTTTTATATGTATCTGTTAGTACTATGTGGGTAGGGTTGGTCATACTTTCCTCCCGTTGATGTCCAATGACAGTCTTAGTATAATGTATAATGGCTGTCTATATTGGAACAGCAGTTGTTTCAATGATAGACTGGCTCATGCCATGGCAATGTGGAATTTCCACCCGTTGCTCGTTTGAGCAGAGACAAGTGTAGGGCTCGTCTCCAATAATCCTTACTACAGTACATCCATGTGCAGACATTTTATCAATCCACTGCTGGATGAGGGCTTCCCCCCCCCCCACCCATATGGGGGTTATTTGACCATACTTCACCAAGCTTGGTCATTGAGGATTCATGAAGGCGGGGAGCATAGACGTTGCATAATAGTACAGTACAGCATTGGATAGTTATGCATTGCCCTCTGCTGAAAACAGCCCCGCAGTCACAGCCTATAGCACCGGTTGTACACGGTGGTGGTCGCCCATCCAAGCACTCTCCATGCCCATCCTGCTTAGCTTGTGAGGTCTGGTGAGATCGGGTGCATTCCAGGTGATTTGTAACGTAGGCGTGCCAAACATACTTTATATTTAATATAATATCCTTTGACAAGTGCAGGTCTTACACTTTAATAAACCCTGACTGCAATTATAATTGGAATTCATTAATGTACCACCTGAAAATGATTAAAACAAAAAGCATACTTTTGATAGTAATTGTTATATTTTTCTTAACTTATTGATTTCATTAGAGAAAATGAGTATAATAAGTGACTTGCTATTTTGCCATTTTATTTCAGAGACGAAAAGCAAAATATTCTGAGCTAGATTTCCAGGTAAGCGCTATTGTAGTTTTTTTCACAAAATGTTTTACACAGCATAGATTGTTAAGTGTCTATGTGATCATTGATTAACTGAACATTCTCTATGTTGGTGAAACACTTGACCTCTCAACTTTGGTCCCTTTTAATAACTCTACAATCACTGCCAAGCATCTGACTAGGGGGCTCTCCACTCACACTGCTCGATTTACAATCAGGAAGTTTGCAAGTTAAAACCCTGGTGGGGAATCAACTCAGACGTGGGACTCAACAGAATGCATGCCAATGTGTGGTAAGTCAACAGTGGCCCATACGAGTTGAGACTGATCCCAGCCATGACAATGTGGAATTTCCACTGCTGGGTCATGGTCCCCCATGCTCATTCTGGCTGTGAAGCACTTTGCAATAACAGGGCCAACATTCGTGCATATTCGTCATGAACACAGTGATCATGGCAAAGAACATTCCTGTGTCCAATGTCAACAGTGAATTCCTCACGTTGGCCCAGTCTCTTGGATATGCTGTCAAAATAAATGGATAATTAGAAACCTTGAGGGTTTAAACCACCTTCCTTGGAATAAGCTTGAGTGATGTGCAGAAGCCTATTCATCTTTTTTTTTGTTGAGCTTCTTTTGAATTTTCTCCAGTTCTCTTTTAGCAGCAAAACAACGTAACTCCCCCCCCACCCCCCATCATTAAATCCCACAAGCATCACAGCAACCACCTTATCACCTTACAGCTTCAGAAAAAAATACAGTTCACAGACCTCTGCAGGACTTCCCACCACAACATTCACTGCATTTACTCCGCAGGTTGTTTTTCATCTGATTAACATTCACTTGAGGTATGCGGCTGTATTTTGATCCAGCATTAGCAAGATTATTAAGTCCCTGTATTAATTACAGGCAGAGAGAGTTGCCATCAAATAGGTAGTGTTCCTTGGGTGTGTACGTGTCAATGCGATCACCATCATCATGGCTTGTGAAATGAAGCGGAGTGTTAATGTGTATGGAAAATGAGAAAATTAGAACTTGTATGCATTATTTAAAAAAATAAGAATATGTTTTACCCATTCTGGCAATAAAACAGTTTGTGTTAAGTTGTTCAAACACCAAATAGAAATATTTTGCAAGGAATCAAGTCTGCGTTGACCACACGTACTTGTGGTGAACATGCAAACAAATATGCTCTGTGCATTGTCTTTGTACTGTTCATCTTTTGGCGTTCTCTGGTCTGACACTGGTGAGACTAGGCCCTAAAGATGGCTGTCTCTGGTGTAGGCCAATCAGTTTCAAAGACAATCAGATCATGTTTGGTACTGGCAAAAAGGTCCAAATGCATCACTTGAAATCACGCCTCTATGAGCCCAAAAGTCATATTGCACTCAGAAGACAAATCAGCCACTTGAAGAACTCGTAGATAGTTCATTGTCCTTCCCCCGCATACTCCGATTAGCATGGTCGCCTATGTATGGCGGAAGAAGTTCAACGTACACTTACGTACGTACAGATACACTGAGAGACAACCATTCATTTTGATACTCTCCTTGGAAAATTGTAAATGCCAAGGTCGTGCGTTCATGCCATTAGCGCAGCGGTGCATTGTACCCCTTGATATATATTCCACTCTCACTCCACACAAGCTACACGTCTTAAGGGTTTTAGCTTCCGTTATTGATGTAACTTTTTGTTTCCCAAAACTGTGCTCATTAGTCTAATGTCCTCATTCTGAGTAGTTTTATTAGCGCCAGCTTAACAGAATAGTATGCAGCTCTATTGCGGAAAAGGCTTCGAACGCATGTTGCTTTATTAAGAACAATATTTGTTTGAAACTTGTAACGTACACTATGGGCACAATTACACAAAATAAAGCTTAAGCCAGCTGCTCACCGCTCAAGCGTGTGGTTTAGAAACGCCGTTCTGCTCACATGTAGGTTAACGCAAAGAGAGAGAGGTCGCTTCCGTGCAAACGCACACAGAATGAAGCATTTGTCAATTCTAAAGTTTTAATGAGCATTCCGCTGTCCTTCAAGGGTGAATTCCTTCAGCGGTCGGACACAGATATGTTGTAAAACATTTACCAAGTTCGCTCATGAAGAGGGGAGTTGTGTCAAAAGCGCTTGATACCTTGGCTTTAAGAAAGACGAGGTGAAGGACGACATGCCATGGCCAATGCCGTTGATGCCATCGCACCTCACCATCACTTCCCTCAAATAGATCCCACAGCTGTTGCACAGTTGACACCTGACCCCCAAGGTCCCCCCATCTGAATTTAAGTGTTTCTCTATGTTGCTGCACTCCAGAAGTCAGGTCTGTAAATGACGAGAAACCCCATCCGAATAAAAGAAAAAGTCGCTGCGGGTTTTTCCAACATCACAGAAATTTGTACAAAAAACACTCAGCTTCGTGCATTCTGCAAAAACCATGAACGAGTCCTCTTGTCTTCTGTCACCATATAAGAGCTTTGAGCAAATGTGACCGGCTGACAGGCAGGAGTGAGACGCATTTCTTTATATATACTTGAATTGTGCTTGTGTGCATGTTTTATTTTTAATATATATACCTTAACTTTTCCTTTGCCAGTACCAAAATATGAGAATAGGTTTTCCCCTTTCCCCCCCCCCTTTTTTCTGGCAACAAAACAGGTGTTAAGATGTTTGAGACTAGGTTGGAAAGAAAACTGTCTCTGGTGTGAACCAATCAGTTTCAAAGACAATGCATCATACTATCAGAGTATGTTTTTTGTTTGCATTCTGACCACAAGCATTGTGGTTAATGCAGACATGATTCCCTGTAAAAGGTTTCAGTTTGGTGTTTTAACATCTTAACACCTGTTTTGTTGCCAGGGAAAAGGGGAAAACCTATTCTCATACCTTGACTTTGCTTATGTTGTGGTTTTTGTTTGTACAGTATACTGTTGATTATCCTCATGCGGTGTATCCGATTTGCGGATTAACCACGCACCTGAGATTTTGACATAATGTAATAACTCATGGTTTTCTATAAAGCCCAAATTATTAATCTAAAAACAGTAATACATTGTTATTTTAAAAAAATGTTCATTACGCACTTAAACCGAAATCCACTTGATCGCCGCTACAGTACAGTAGTTGCATATCTTGACAAAAGTGGGTGGAGTTTGATGTTGATTGGCGTGGCTCAGCTATCCACTTAGTGGGCAGAGTCTTATGCGCGGGAGCAGAAAAGTGTTATCACTGAACACGCGCATAGATCGGTCGATCGTCGGTTTTTGGCATAGAGATCCACGGAAAATGGTTATATTTTTGGATTATCCGCGATTTTGAATTATCCGCGACCGTCCTCCCCGTCATTAGCGCTAATAATCTCGTCTACTGTGCTTCGCTTTTGTGCGTGCGAGTTTTGGTCGTACATACTTTAACTTCGTTCGTGGCTTTTGGGCTTTTTTTTTGCAGAAAATCATGCACACGAGAAAGAGGCACCATGAGATGTTTCATGAGATGAGCCAAAAATTCCCAACTTTGGATCGACATTGGCAGTCACCTGCAGATAGCCTGAAGGTGAGCGAACAGAGCTGTCGGCACAACATTCTTATCCATTGCACTTCTTGCACTCAAGTATTGGCGTCTCATGAGATACGTTTTGTGACCGTGAGATTGGGCGGCCAAAAGAAAATGATGTCAGTGTCGGAGCACTGACCCGGGACCACTGAGCACCTGAGTTCAAATCTGGGGAGTTGGGCGAGGGTTTACATTTCCCCTCTCCGCGTGCGGTGATTTTGTTGATTGCAACTCAGTCCCAAACAAAGACAACAAAAAGGACGTGGTTATGTCTTGCGCACACAAGCATTGGGTGGTGCTCATCTCCATAATACCAGCTCTGAGCTACTTAATGGAATATACATTTTCTGTGATGGCACGGGCAAGTCGATTGATAAGACAACAACAATTGACTCACCCACAACGCTCAAGTCGATTAATGAAACCCCTAACCAAGATTTGAAGTCACCAGGCTCTGATTACGGGGCATGGACTCTTGACCATCAACTTTGCACACAAAGAAAACAAAAGCACCACATCAAATGTGCGGTTTGTTTTCCACGTAATTGAACATGATTTAGCGCTGCGTGAGTTGAGCCAATATTACACTAACTTAACAGATAGTTCTGTAGCATCTTCCATGACTTATCTCTTGACATACTGTATGTTGAACTTCTATTGCCACCGTACGTAGTAAATCGTGCTAATCGGAGGTGCGGCGGAAGGATAACAAACTAAACACAATAAAAGCAGTTTTAAAGAAATGAGTTGTCAACCTAAATTTGAAAGTGCGCAGATCCAGCGGCTTCCTAACATCGGAAGGAAGAGCGTTCCAGACGGTGGCAGAAGCGCATCTTAAAGCGCGCGATGCATTGGTCGTCTTTGTTCGATGGCTAACCAAAACCCATGCGACATTGATTGGAGTTCACGTGATGATTTATGCGCCTTGTAATGCTCCGCTGATTGTAGGAGTTTCAAAAGGGCGATGTTTCTCTGCCGCGAATTACTTTTGCAACCGATGATAAATTGCCCAAACGCATCTTCTTTGGTTCTTTCGGTAAAGTCACGTAGAATGAGAATAAAATAAAATAAAAAAATACGTGACTTTACCGAAAGAACCAAAGAAGATGAATCCTTGCAGTCACGAAAGCTTTAAATCGAAATTTGCCCAAACGCAGTTATAAAAAGGTGCGGGCTATTTTCCTATTCGGCACCTTACTAAATCATGCAGACTTGATTTGGAGCTTTCGTGACTGCAGGAATTACTCTTTGCTTCTTTCGGTAAAGTCACGTAGAAAGAGAAAATAATAAATTAAATAACTGCATACGACGTTTCGATTGCAACACAAGCAATCATCATCAGGTATAAATGAAAGAGAAAACAAACCTTGTAAACTTAGAATTATAATGCAACACAACGCAGATGAGTCGGCTAACATAACAGTCAACACCCTACCTGGTTGATTGACGTTCTTCCAAAGATTGCTGAATTTAAGGGAGTGAAAAAAGGGGAACGCCCACAAAGCATCAGCTGACGACAACTCTCCAAATTGGCGGGGGGAAAAAATAGCCCCACCCCTGTTACCAATGCCAGACTCAAATGTTTAAGTTCTCTACAGAGGCGTTCGCTATTTCTCCACGTATTTACAGGCGGGGTACTTTTTTTTTTTCACGGTGTCCCTGTTACGAATTGCGTGAAGGGAAAAGCATTTGCCGCGACGCGGTGTTGCGAGTATCCGCGCCATTCGTTAAAACTGCCACGAGCGAGCAAATAAAGAGCTCGTTCTTTGTGAAGGCCGGCACTCAGATGTGGATGTTAAACTTTGATATATACGTAACTAGCTTGACTACCCGGCTTCGCCCGAGACTTAGATTCTTGTCTTGGATTAATACACGGCCTACGCGGAGGGTGAGGTGGGGGGGGGAATGCGTGATGTCAGCAGGCACACTGCGTGACGCTTCCGCATGCGGGTGACATCACAGATGTGACGTCACCACTTACTTGCCGTGCAAAATATATCCATTATTGCGCCCCCCCCGCCCCCGAAAATACAAAAGTCTATTTTTATACTTTTTGCATTATGTACAGTCTGGAAGCTACCCACATGCCAAATTTCAAGTTTGTTGCATGTCGGGAAGTATGCTAAACATTTCGAACAGACACACATATTCACAAATTTCCCTTTTATATATAGAATATCAGTGTACAACTGACAAGGACACTTTTTTAGTCGGAATAAATCTGCACTTTGATTAAAGTATACTGAATAACAACACAAGACCGGTGCTCGCGAAATCACAAAGTATTGATAGCTCTTTTGTTGTCCGCACCTCGGATTGGCACGGTTTGGCTACGTACGGTGCGAAAGAAGTTTTAACATACAGTACATGAATACATATAGCCTTGGGCTTTGCGAAGTGTTTTACCTTCGTGAAAAAAAAAACATTCATACGGGGGTCAGAGAGCAACATTGTCGCAAAAGTTACATAACCTGATTTAACCAACCGCACATTGAGCACAGTGCAGCTGGGCCACTGAATGGCCACGGTGGTTAAATTCTAGCTATCGCATTAACGTTTCTCAACACCGCCATTCCCTGACGTGTGAGATATACCACCTCAGGTGTCTGGGTGTGCGAGTCCCTTGACAGTTTCATTTTTGGGCAGTTTCCTTTTTGGGGGAAAAAGTTACACCTCAAAAAGAGACCATTGAACAGTTATATTCTTGGTTCTTTTGATAAAGTCACGTAGAAGGGAAACAATAAAATAATAAATATATATATAAAATAATAAAAATAAGTCAAGAGGTGCTTTGAACAAAAATAATAAAAATATATATATATTTTTTTTGTTATTTTATTGTTTCCCTTCTACGGGACTTTACCGAAAGAACCAAGAATATGAATCCCTGCAGTCACGAAAGCTTCAAATCAAAACATTGAACAGTTGTTTGCTTCAACTTTTGCCCATTGCGCTCGCTCATGCCCAAGTTGTTTTTAAGCGACACCAAAGGAAGGTGTCAAGAGGTGCTTTGAACAGCCACGGATTTTGTAATTTTAAGGAACCCAAGTTTTTCTTGCTAATTAGTCAAGTGTAAATGAGATTGGCAGAACATCAATAAACCTTTCCTCATCAATAATCTGGCGTGCAATATTAATTACAATCAAACCATTGACGGGGATTTTAAAACAATTTTGTTATAAAATGCCCGGTGTTCATACGGATTTACGGCATATTGAATTGAGAAGTTTATGTTGCCCAGCGGAGTGGCCAAGACATTTATTAACTTGTCCAGCATGCCGCAAATTCAAGACGGATTTACCAACGTGCACATTCACGGGCCAGCTTAACCTTTGGCGGTAATGAACGTACGCTTGCATAAGTGGCACAGACCTCTATCCCATAGAGATCTGTCAGGGTATTTCCATCTCAGAATTGCCCCTTAAGACCACTTACTAAACCTTTCACGTCACATATTGGGCTGAAAGATACTCATTGTTTTGGTTGTCATTTGTTTTGGCCAAGTAATATACCTGCACGTTCCCTGTAATAGTTTTTCTTCTTCTGACAACTGGTATTTATTCTGGATTTGAAGCTTTCGTGACTGCAAAGATTCATGCTCTTTGGTTTTTTCGGTAAAGTCACTTAGGTAAAATAAAAATAAAATAAATGAAAACAACTAAATTAAATCACGACGTTTCAGAGGCAACACAAGCTTCCGCCTTCAGGTGGAACAGTCACAGCAAAATCAACTGTGTCAAGTGAACAGCTCTGGGACACTCGGGTTTATATACAGGTTAAGGGGGGGGGGGGAGTCAGGAAGGGACGTGGGTGGGGGCTAAGTTAAGCCGCCTTTTGTTATTCTGTAGGGGGTTCAGGGGGAGGCAGTGGTACACTAGCACGTAAAACCATCTTTTGTTATTCTGTAGGGGGTTCAGGGGGAGAGCGATGGCGCGCTGCACGGGGGCGAGTACAATCACTGGTATGAACGTAAAAGGCTGTATAATTATAAGCCAGCTAAGGTTTGACTTGGTTGATGAACCATTTCCTAGACCACATAAATTCCAGACACCCATCCATCAAATTCACCATGGAAGTGGAGAAAGATGGCAAGCTGCCATTCTTGGATGTTCTGTTTGAGAGGTGGACTGATGGCTCTTTGGGACATTCTGTTTACAGGAAGTCCACCCACACAGATTCATACTTGAAGCCTGATTCCCACCACCACCCGGCTCAAAATAATTATCTCATCAAAACTCTATACCATAGGGCTCATTGCATTTCTGACCAACACCACCTGGCCAGTGAATTAAAACATGTACATCTGGCCCTCAAGATGAATGGTTACTCTGACTGTATCATCCGCCAAGCTGTTTCTCCCTCCATACAGAAACAACCACTTGATACTCCGATCAAAACCATCACACTGCCTTACATAGCAGGCATGACCAAAAAGATTTCCAAAATTCTAAACAAACACAAGATCCAGATCCGGTTCAATACAGTACACAAAATCCGTGATCTGATCCCATCCGTAAAGGATGTCATTCCTGACTTACAGTACCCCGGTGTTTACAAATTGAGTTGTATCTGTGGTGACTGCTATATCGGGGAGACGAAACGACATATTTCTGACCGAATTCGCGAGCACAAATCAGATTTGAAACACGGCAGAACGAATTCTTCAGCCGTGGCTGATCATTGCTTCAACACAGCAGGTTCTCATGACATTATTTCCTCTGATACCAAAGTTCTCTGCAAACCTCCCGGTTATTACCAAAGATTTGTCCATGAAGCCATCCAGATATACAAACATAGACACAACATCAACCGAGAGGATGGTTTTAAATTGAGCAACTTTTGGAAAGATGTCATCAACCAAGTCAAACCTTAGCTGGCTTATAATTATACAGCCATTTACGTTTATACCAGTGGTTGTACTCGCCCCCGTGCAGCGCGTCATCACTCTCCCCCTGAACCCCCTGCAGCATAACAAAAGGTGGTTTTACGTGCTAGTGCCTCCCCCTGAACCCCCTACAGAATAACAAAAGGCGGCTTAACTTAGCCCCCCCTCCCCACCCACGTCCCTTCCTGACTCCTCCCCCCCCCCCCCTTAATCTGTATATAAACCCGAGTGTCCTAGAGCTGTTCACTTGACACAGCTGATTTTGCTGTGACTGTTCCACCTGAAGACGGAAGCTTGTGTTGCCTCTGAAACGTCGTGCTTTAATTTAGTCGTTTTCATTTATTTTATTTTTATTTTACCTACGTGACTTTACCGAAAAAAACAAAGAGCAACTGGTATTTATCTCATCCATCATCATTAGACCTCCTTTGCCAGTACCAAAATGTAATAATTGGGTTTTTCCCCTTTTTCTGGCAACAAAACTGCAGGTATTGTGGTTAATGCAGACATGAATCCTTGTAAAAAGGTTTCAGTTTTGTTGCCAGAAAAAAGGGGAAAAACCCTATTATTACATTTTGGTACTGGCAAAGGAGGTCTAATTATGTAGATGCTCACCCCGAGCCCTCATTACTTTGATAGTGCATTGTTATTGAGCTGTACGCCTTCTGGCGTCATGTGGTTGAGCACCAATTGGGTCGAAGCTCAAAAGAAAGCCGTCCATTGGTGTGGACCAATCAGTTTCAAGGACAATGCATATATTATCATAGTATGTTTTTTGTTTGCATTTTGACTGCAGGTATTGTGGTTAATGCAGACATTAATCCTTGTAAAAAGGTTTCAGTTTTGTTGCCAGAAAAAAGGGGAAAAATCCTATTATTGCAACTGGTATTTAGTTAAGTTGGTAGTCATTATCATGCGCTTTTTTATTTTTGCAGGAGGGTCCTACACTGGGATGCTTGGCCAGTTCCATTATTTAGTTTTTGGCGTGTTAATTGAAACTGGAGAACGAAGAGAAATCCAACAACTCTAAAGGGATAACATTGAAAGCTCTGCACAGATGGATGTATTACACTTGCTCTACCACCTTCTGGTGATCAGAATATTTATACTGGAGGAATCCGATGACCTATAAAGCTCTTTTTCACAGATATCCATTACTCATAGCTTAGTCGAGTTGAGAGTTTCACAAAACACTACATGAACCACCAACCCTCACCTCCAAAGTGTTGCAATGGCAGGCGTTCACCACTGTGTCGGGCTGATCGTTTATCAGGGTGCCCATCAATAAGGTTGTCCGTTCAAGTTCTAGGTAGTGCTGTCTTACGCCAATCACTCCTTCAGGGTTTGTAAAATACTGTAAGCACCACCATGTGAGACTGTGCACATTTTGGTGGGAGATCAACAGGTGCTGCCTGATAGAGAGACTGGTCCCAAATTGTGGGCGTTTAGAATTCTGACCACTGACCCATCACCATCTGGAATTAACTCAGGGGATGAGAACTTCCCAATGTTCGTTTGAGAATGGAGATTTCGATTTATTTTGTGTGGTTTCTAGCTCTCTTTGTCTCTCGTACATCTCTTTTAACAATTGCATTTTTAGTTGGTTTCTGTCGACCATCAAGTCCATAAATATCCTTGCCTTGCAAGTCGTCTGTCTCTTGCTTGCCTGTTAGCACATACATGTACCGACAGAGTCTATCTCATAGGTATCTATACATCTACCAACACATACGTACATTCATGCACACGAATGCTGCACGTAGCTACGGGCCCCGTACTTTCAAGGGCCCCGCGCTAAATGCTTTCAAGCTATCAATTCCGGTTCAGTGATTCTGCACTAGCTCTATTACTATAGTACTATACCGCCTTCTACTTTTATGAACGACTGGGTGTTTAAGGTTAGCGATTTGTCGTATTATCTGGCTGTATAGCAAATGAAAAAATACAATTACTTTACTATGCAAGTTAAAGATTTGTGTTTTAATATTTACGGGGTTTTTTTTTTTATTTCGTGCCCCCTTTATAACATACACTACAGGTCCCACACTAGCTTAATCCGGCACTGGAGGTGGGGCAATTATCTGATGAATTCATCCCCAGCTGAGATTTCAATTCGTAACCTTCCCATAGTGAGTTGAGTGTTCTGCTACACTGTCACGTGGCTTGACAAAAGTATCTAGCAGTGCTATAATATAATTCCACCGGTCGCACCAAAATTTTTTGTCAAAGGAGTCTGGCTGGCAGTATCTGGAAGCGGAGCCCCACCTGAATGTACCCTCTTGATGAACATCATTACTGGCAGGCTCTATAGCTGGAATGAAAATGTACTTGGGCAGGGCAAATTGCTTGGTGATATGAAGCGAGGTGGAGGAAGAGAACTGGCACTGAGCAGAGAGATGTTGAGCGGGATGACCCGAACAAAGGTGGACAGATTTAATCGTTGCAAGATAACGAACAACATATATTGGCAGCTGTGAAAGCAAGCAGAAATTGTACCAAGGCTGGAGGGATTCTGTCTAGCAGTGGATAGAGAAATGTTGATGTGACAATGATTGTAATCGAGATGGGCTTTGAGGCAACCTGTTTTGATCATCCGGTCAAAGGTCAAAGACACGTATGTGTTTATTGAGCTTCTTCCGCACAATACGTAGCCGAACGTGCTAATCAGCGGTACATTCCCGTGTGTGGGAATTCGACGGGTGTGCCTGTCCTTCTGAAGGGATGTGAATCCAGCACTTTCCACGTCTGCTCGCAGGCCTCTGAGTACGCACAGCGCTCGCAGCATAAGTAGAGAGTTGTGCTGCAGAATTACCCACACTCTTCACAAAAGGCATCCAAAAATGTAAAGCGACTGTGTTGCAAGTGTAGTGAGTCCAACTGAGTCGCAGACGTTGTTCTTTAGAGGCAACACTTTTATTGTAACATCAACACGTTAACACGAAGTGGTAACTGCCCCTTCACCAGATACAGCCTAGGGTGGTGACCACCCAGCTAACTACGCTATACGGAGGAGTTACAGCTACGAAGGGTCTGGCCCTCACTCGGGTCCCCGACCACGTGTTGATGCCTCGTAGGACGTAGAGCTTCCAGCTTGCCGAATGCAGCGACCCCGGTCCCTCTCAGGGACTTACGTCCCCCTGGGTCGGGGCCACTCCGCCTTCTAGCTCCCTCTCGATCCCTCTCGAGAGCTCCCGCCGGACACGTGATCACCCCCTATGACGGTGCATCGCGCGCCACGGATCTCTCGGGCCAGCACCATACAGTGACATCCCCGATGTCACTACACACGTACTGAATAACCGTGCTAATGAATCGTCGCCTGGGCAATAATCATGTGTAATCATTTCAGTCACATAAATAATGTAACATGATAATCGTGTGAGCTACCAACGATAAACTCCAGATGGAAAAGTACAAAAATATATTAGTATGCCACCCTTGCCAAGAGACTTTACATCAGCCCTTTCGTTATTATATTTTTTGCAGCAGTCGGAGAAAAGATGGAGCCTGTCGTCCCCTGGCAGCGACTCGGTGGTGGAGAGCGTGAGCGTGAGTCTACCGAGCGATGGGACACGAGCTCAGAACCCCACACACACGGCACCAAATATCACGCACCATGAAACATGCAACATTCACCTGCGCCACAACGCCACTCACCGTGCAGCCTTCCAGTGCTGGGCAGCTCTTGCGGGAGGGCAGCGTGCATGTAGCTGAAGCGTGTGCAGCATGCGCAGTTAGTGCAGCGTGTGCAGCGAGCTCATGGCACGATTCACTGGCATCGCGAGGAGGAGAGCGAGTTTCAGTTGTGAAACTTGAAGCGTCTTTAACAATAACTGCAGTTACATTTCATTTTAATTTCAGTGAAACGAGCAACTAAGTGTTCATTTGTTTGTGCGTGTCATCATCTAATAATAACATTGTAATGATTGCAATTTCCCAGTTTGAGCTATTTTGTAAAATCCGTGCAAATGATTTGCCTCAAGGCGACGAATTGAGCGTGTACACGAGACGGGTTAGAGCGTGGGAGGGAGAGCACGGATGAAGCAAATGACCTCTATAAGAGATAATGCTGCACGATTATATTCCGATACCCCTCTTGCCAGGGCCGTATTATCCAAAAGTGCCTATGATATCTAAAGGCATTCCAGACACAGTGCCTACTGTGCCTAGGGCCGATGAAAACTAAAGGGCCTACAAAAACTGTGACCGTGTATTTTTGTTTCTATTGAAAAAAATGGAACCAAGAAATCTTCTTGAATGAATTCATTGATAAAGCAAGGATAGGCACAGTGTTTCAAATTAAAGCTGCTTATCTGCGGCACACAGCGTGCTCCCATCAAATTAGGGTCACAGACTAAATAATGAACGTATTAGTAACGAGATCTGTCCAGCGACTGGACGAAGTACCGTGTGAAACGAGCAAGTGACAGCGGCAGTAGTAGTAGTAGCGACAAGGGACAGCAGTGCCAACTGTAGAAAGCTTTCACTGAAGGCCTACAAAACAGAAGTGCCTAGGAACCTAAATCTGGCCCTGGTCCTTGCACATTACATTGCCCTGCGCTACAAAGCCCTTGTGCACTTTGGCACAGGGCATTATGGTGCTTAACATAGCTCCTCCTGCACGTCCATAAACGCGCCTGCTCTATGCGGGGCAAGAGCCATGGTTGTAGACCGACGCGGATAGGTTGAAATAAACGAGGGAGAAAAAAGCGCATGTACGCTTTTGACACTTTCCCACGTGAGTGCCGGTTTTTTGGAAAATATTTAACTAGCGATAATATCGTTTAGTTTCAAAAAGCTTAGTGAGGTGGCGTCACACCACGCATGACGTGCGATGTTTCAAGATAAAGTCGCAAGCAATGACACCATGAGGCTGAGAGGGGGCCGGGGGGGGGGGGTGCACACTTCATTTAATGTTGGTTTTGTGAACCCTTTTAGCACTGGTTTTTGTATTCAAGTTTTTGGCAGCCAATGTTCAATTTGGCCTATATCCTATCGGTTAAGTCCCTTCGAGCGACAAAAGTGCATACAAAAGTTACATTTGTTTTGCATCATCTTTATCAGTTATCGCGACCACGCTCTACAAAGCTAATGCATTACCGCTCTCAGCCTTGGTTGGAGAGCACTAAAGTCTGTCTCCACAAATTACCCTGACGTGGTGCTCACATGTACCGACTACTTTAAGCCAGTGGTATAAATTCTACATTGCTGTGGAGTGAGCCAGTCTTTCAATCGTTCCCCTTCAAGTACCATAAATTGATACTCATTTGTTTTTCGGAGGAAAAAATAAGCTTTGTCAACCTCCTAGCGATGTGTCCCCATGGTCCTTGGCATAGGCATATGGAATTTCGATGACTGGCTCAGGGCTAGCAGCAGTGATGAGCATCGCCCAAAGCCCGCTGGAGTGCGGCGACACAATTTCAAGTGGTTGAATTATTTAACTATTAAGAGCGGGCGTGTGGAAATGGTGTCGTGAACGGCACATGACATGTAATTAATAAGAGAACAGTGGGGGGGGGGGGGGGGGGTGTCCTCAGTAATCCTGGCAAAAGTTCATGCCTGCAGTAATAACTTAAATTTACCTTTGCAGGAGCACATTTTTTGACAGGTATTACTCTTGGCATCATCCAAATTGATCTTTCCTTCTGCCAGCAGTCATGGCCATAGCTTTATGGTCTAAGCCCCTGGAACAGGAGGTCCTGTCCTCGTTGGAATAGCGGAATGTGTCCCATCCAAATGGCTGGCATGGAGTTCATGGCACCTCGATAACTCAGCAGAGTTGAGTGAGGGAGGGAGAGTTTCCACATGCTTTTCCAGGCTGGGAGTCTATTGAAGCGCTGGCAGCCATAATACCTAATGTAGACTGACAAACAAATCACAATATCACCATAAAGATTCAATGCAATTGTTACCATAATGTCATTATCAGTTTCCTCATCATTCACCCTCAACATCGTCATGTATGTTGAACTTCTTTCCCACTGTACAGGACCAACCGTGCTAATCGGAGGTGCGGGGGAATGACAACAAACTAAACGCAAAAATCAGTTTTAAATAAATTGGTTTTCAATCTAGATGATTTACAAGTGCACAGCCCCCTTTGGCTTCCTAATATCAGAAGAAAGAGCGTTCCAGACAGCCGCAGAAGCGCATCTGAAAGCGCACGATGCAGTGACCGTCTTTGTTCGATGGCCAGCCGAAAGCTGCTGCGAGGTTGACCAGAGGTCGCGTGATGGTTTATGCTGTCATCCTGATCGTCCTGGTCATAACCATCACGCTCATCACCCTCGTTATTATTGTTGTGTTATTGTCCACGATCAACACAACCACAGTCATCACTATCATTCACACCCGCACGTAGTAATTTGCATTAAGCGTGACTCGCGACATACCGTTCTGCCCTTCATCCAATTAACTGGAATTGTCATTGTGGTCCAACCAGTGACATTGCGCGACAGTCTCATCGCTTGCCACTCCTGCCGTCGGTGCTCGTGCAGGAGATGTCCTCTCAGAGTCGCCCTCCGCTAGATCTGCCGACGACCGACAGCAGCCGGCGGCAGTCTCCCGCTCCTGCCATGTGGCCCTTCCACGGCACGGGACACGAGCACCAGATGAAGGATGCGTCGGAGCAAGAAGCTTCGGAAGACCTAATCTCCTTCACGGGAGGAACGGGCGATTTCCAGACCGAGGTGTGAGTGTGGTGCACGGACAGCCAAGCACACTTTTGTGTGAGAAAAGGTTTAGAGAAAGGTTTGACAAAAGCTTCTCCCCCCCCCCCCCCCTTATTACTTTGTTTGATTAAGGAATTGCTGTACTTTACGCTTCATATTTTAGGCAAATTTTTGGAGTGATATTGGCCCAGGTTGTGGCGTGTATCTCTATTAGTATCGAATGTAATAGACATTGTAAAGAAGTTAGTTATTAAGACTCTGTTGTGATAATTAAAACAAAAGTATACCACCTTTCTTTAGAAAGTGTTCATTTAAATTTGTTTACTTACGACCGGCTTATATAATTCTTTTCAGTTTTTTTGTTTTGCTAAACTTAAGAGCATTCAGACTTTGTACTGCAAACATATAAAATGTCTCGGAAAAGGTCTGACTGCATGTAAATAGAATTTCAATTCATGTGATGGCATGAGAAGTTATTTTTTAATAATTCATTTAATGATAATTATTTTATTTTTAAAAAAAGAAAATAAATAAACTGAAAGAATTATCCAAGTGCAAAAGTTATATTAGGTTGTGATGGTATATTTTAAACTAAAAAAAACTAGCAGTTGCTTCACTTGTTTACTTGCTTAATTGAACATACAGTCGTTGAACTAATGCTAATATTTTAAGAACTACTATCCATCATTTTGACTGGATGTACAATACGCTTCAACGTATAATTACCAGTGTATAGTTTAATCCTTTTTGCAATGTTTATTAAGAAGAAGAAGAAGAAAAAAACAAGCAAAAATAAAACAAGCATTACTCATGCGAACATTGGCAGCATGTATAAATACATTCGCTTTGGTTAACGACGCACCGCGACTAACACAACAATCGAAGGTGGGTTGCAGTTTGGTTCTGATAAACGGTGACAATTATTATTGTGTTGATAACCTGGCGATTCAACAATCGCTGAACGACTACGTGTTGGTTGACCACACATTTTGAAGTCATTTCCCCATCAATCCCACCGTGGTTATTTACAGCTGCTAAGTGTAAAGTGTCACTCTTTTAAATTGGCTTCCATTGCTTCAAAAAATTTCGACAGAGCAAGTATGTACACCATTACAAAAAAAAATGTTTACAGCTACCATGGAATAGTTAGAGTGCTGCTACAGCGTGACAGATCTTTTTTCCCATTGCTCTCACATCCATCGCTTTGGACAGAAATGTCCCCGTATCTCGTCTGCACTCGCTGTGAAGTTGTGAGTGCACCACTGTACATAGGCATTCGAGGGAGGGATAACAATTGTCTTACTTTGTAATATTATACTGGCACATGTGTTTTTTGTACTTTCGTGAGAAGGATGGTGCAAAAAGTGAAATTTTAGTCTGGCCTGGAGTCACTGATGAGGTGGAACCACGTGGTATTTCAACAACAAAGCAAAGGAATGCTCTATTGCGTTTATAAATTTAACAGATTTACTGAATAAATTAGTTATTACGACCAGTGGTAGATGGATGATAAAATTGTGTTTGTTAAAATGCAATAGTCTGATAAAGGAATATTATGAAGGCACAGTTGTGCTCTGAAACGATCATTGGGTAGCACTCACCTCTCATGCCAGCACTTACTTAGATAGTGGAAGAATGTCCACGCTCCTCTGGCTGTCTTCACATAGGATGAGTTATGCCAGAGGGTTTTGTCCGAAAATGACAATATAATTTAATTCACAAAGTATTCGCTTAGGAAATTACATTAAAGTTCACTGCCTAAACTAATACAGAGGTACTATCAATGGTAATTTCCCTGAAAAGGTACTAAGTTTTCAATCAAATGGGCATCCAGTGCATCTGTGACGGACTGACAGTTACAAGTGTTATGTCAGGAAGGTAAGGAGAGCGGTGAGCAATGCTGACAACGCGACACGCATGCCGACAGGCACTCCCAGGTAGGATACGTTTGGCCGTGGTGCCACGTAATTATCTAACCCTTAATGTCCTATCCTCTTCCGCGTGCTGCTGTACTGAGGCCATTGGCAACGTGAGATAGTGTGGCCTTTCTGTGCTCGTGTGTGTGCAAGATGGAATCGGTGATGGAATGGTTTTCAGACTACTGTGATCCCATCAACCAGGGTTCGATTCACGACCATAGCTAAGTTCAGTGACACATGGTGTCTGAACCTATTGTTCAGTTCCCTTTGTTTGACTCAGCCTGAGATTAGTACTATCTTTTACAGTGTGTGTAAATAACGGAACTGGGGAGACAGAGGCAAATTGGCATGGTGCTAACCACACCGCCACCCTCTTGTACAGTGAGGGGAAAAAAAGTATTTGATCCCCTGCTGATTTTGTACGTTTGCCCACTGACAAAGAAATGATCAGAATATAATTTTAATGGTAGGTTTATTTGAACAGTGAGAGACAGAATAACGACAAGAAAATCCAGAAAAACGCATGTCAAAAATGTTATAAATTCATTTGCATTTTAATGAGGGAAATAAGTATTTGACCCCTCTGCAAACATGACAGTAATTGGTGGAAACACCCTTGTTGGCAATCACAGAGGTCAGACGTTTTTTGTAGTTGGCCACCAGGTTTGCACACATCTCAGGAGGGATTTTGTCCAACTCCTCTTTGCAGATCTTCTCCAAGTCATTAAGGTTTCGAGGCTGACGTTTGGCAACTTGAACCTTCAGCTCCATCCGCAGATTTTCTATGGGATTAAGGTCTGGAGACTGGCTAGGCCACTCCAGGACCTTAATGTGCTTCTTCTTGAGCCACTCCTTTGTTGCCTTGGCCGTGTGTTTTGGGTCATTGTCATGCTGGAATACCCATCCACGACCCATTTTCAATGCCCTGGCTGAGGGAAGGAGGTTCTCACCCAAGATTTGACGGTACATGGCCCCATCCATCGTCCCTTTGATGCGGTGAAGTTGTCCTGTCCCCTTAGCAGAAAAACACCCCCAAAGCATAATGTTTCCACCTCCATGTTTGACGGTGGGGATGGTGTTCTTGGGGTCATAGGCAGCATTCCTCCTCCTCCAAACATGGCGAGTTGAGTTGATGCCAAAGAGCTCCTTTTGGTCTTATCTGACTACAACACTTTCACCCAGTTGTCCTCTGAATCATTCAGATGTTCATTGGCAAACTTCAGACGGGAATGGATATGTGCTTCCTTGAGCAGGGGGACCTTGCGGGCGCTGCAAGATTTCAGTCCTTCACGGCGTAGTGTGTTACCAATTGTTTTCTTGGTGACTATGGTCCCAGCTGCCTTGAGATCATTGACAAGATCCTCCCGTGTAGTTATGGGCTGATTTCTCACCGTTCACATGATCATTGCAACTCCATGAGGTGAGATCTTGCATGGAGCCCCAGGCCGAGGGAGATTGACAGTTCTTTTGTGCTTCTTCCATTTGCGAATAATCGCACCAACTGTTGTCACCTTCTCACCAAGCTGCTTGGCAATGGTCTTGTAGCTCATTCCAGCCTTGTGTAGGTCTACAATCTTGTCCCTGACATCCTTGAAGAGCTCTTTGGTCTTGGCCATGGTGGAGAATTTGGAATCTGATTGATTGCTTCTGTGGACAGGTGTCTTTTATACAGGTAACAAGCTAAGATTAGGCGCATTCCCTTTAAGAATGTGCTCCTAATCTCAACTCGTTACCTGTATAAAAGACACCTGGGAGCCAGAAATCTTTCTGATTGAGAGGGGGTCAAATACTTTTTTCCCTCATTAAAATGCAAATCAATTTATAACATTTTTGACATGCGTTTTTCTGGATTTTCTTGTTATTCTGTCTCTCACTGTTCAAATAAACCTACCATTAAAATTATAGACTAATCATTTCTTTGTCAGTGGGCAAACGGACAAAATCAGCAGGGGATCAAATACTTTTTTCCTTCACTGTACATCATACCAACCAGCCTTAATAGATGCTCACTAACAGCCGTTACACATACATTCCATAAGACTAAACAGGGGCGTTCTGTGAATACGTGTTTGTGAAAGACAGGTGCACGCTATAATTGCAGTGTTCCTGCATTCAATTCCTGCTTTGAATTTTCGGAGCCGATTGATTTTGTGGCTTGTGTGGCCCTTCGCCACATTGAGTCGGCATAAATGAGGAGGGAAAAACAGGCAGCAGATATAAATGCTGGTCACATTGTCCACCATGTTCGGGGTGGACTCCATTCATTTATTCGTCAATTAATTTAAATTCCCAAGCCTCATGATTGCATGCACCAAATTTCACACTCAAGTTTCAGTATTTTTTTTCACGTTATTCATGTTTGCAGTGAGACATTTGATTTCATGTTATGGGAGCATTATAAATGTAAGTTGTACGTATTGGTATTCACATCACAACTTGCAGCCTCTATAGTTACTACCATTCACAATCAATGTACAACAAAAAAGGATTCTTGCATAGAAAAATTGTGACAATTCATGGAACCCACCGGGGGATGAATTGTACTGCTACGACTGGCCTATTCATTTGACTATGGCATAGCGTCAACCATCCGGTGGGCACGTGTCTGCTTCGTAAGTTTTCCTAAGATTTAAGATGTGCACTTACCATCCACGTTCAATGACAGAGAGAAATTTTAACTCAGATTAAGTTTGACACCTGACCCTCTCGTTGAATGCCACAATGTTTGCTAATCCAACTCACTTAATCCAAGTCCAATGCAGGAAGTGGTGCTTTGTTTTTTTTTCATCTACTGGTGCGACTCTCACGTGATGCCCACGACGTTTTGCCCAGATGCCCTCGGGCAGCCTCGACGCTGAGAAATTATCGTAATGCGGGGGGGGGGGCAGTTGCTACATGCCTTTTCCGTTGTGGGATAAAAAAATTTTTAAAAAAAATATGCGCCTGCCCCTTGCATTACATTTAAACCATCAGAAACCTTGAGCACCTAAACGGAGCCTTCCCGTTTCTTTGTAGATTAAACTGAACACAGTCGGCTTTGAAAGCATTACGTTTGATTCATCTTTGAGTCACACAGTGGGTAGCAGCGATGTGTGTTCATCATTTCGTGTTCGTGATCGCACCAGCTTAGCTCGACCTATGACTAATGTGTGGGCCACAGACCTGCACACGGTCAGGATTAGCGCTTAAATCGCCAGTTGTGCACGGCTCCTCTAACAGACGCCACCGGAGCAGATAAGACGTAGTCGTCTCTTCGCCGTATACACACGAGGTGTGGTATCTGCATCTTCTAAGTTCATTTATGTTGCACGTCGGGGTGGGGCCCGATGTAAATTTGGGATCAATCACGTAACCAGGGATGGCACGTGGAGCATTATCGCGACTAATTGTCATCAATTTTTCTTGTAAATCAAGGGCATCCAGTTGCACATGCTTCTGAAACAATCTGAAATGTTTATCCTGTGCCCCCTAATAATTCACAGCAGTTGAATATTGGCATGATGTAACGCCAGCCAGTAGTGGTCGTGTTTTCGGAGCTCTGCCAGTCGTAAAGTGTAACTTTTATGCTTTGTTGCCAGCCACTCAGATATGAGCTGTGTCTGTTTTGCCACACGTAAATTGATCGCTTCCATGGGTTTACAGAAGCACTACCTGCAGGCGTAACACGCACTCCGTGTTCTCGGCAACTAAATATGGCAAACATATGCACACGTATGTAATTTGTAAGTAACAAAAACACGCAAATCCCTAACATACTTACTTCAGTATACATGCATCACTTGAGTTACAGCTCAATGAATCTGCCCTTGCTAAAGTGTATTGCAGAGCAACGGATTTATTGTGTTGACTGTGGCACAAATATTGCAATAATCCTCTTGTGACATGTTTCATCCACTAATTTGTGCACATAATTTAAAACAACGGTTA